CTCTATGTAACTTGGCTCTATGTAACTTGGCTCTATGTAACTTGGCTCTATGTAACTTGGCTCTATGTAACTTGGCTCTATGTAACTTGGCTCTATGTAACTTGGCTCTATGTAACTTGGCTCTATGTAACTTGGCTCTATGTAACTTGGCTCTATGTAACTTGGCTCTATGTAACTTGGCTCTATGTAACTTGGCTCTATGTAACTTGGCTCTATGTAACTTGGCTCTATGTAACTTGGCTCTATGTAACTTGGCTCTATGTAACTTGGCTCTATGTAACTTGGCTCTATGTAACTTGGCTCTATGTAACTTGGCTCTATGTAACTTGGCTCTATGTAACTTGGCTCTATGTAACTTGGCTCTATGTAACTTGGCTCTATGCAACTTGGCTCTATGTAACTTGGCTCTATGTAACTTGGCTCTATGTAACTTGGCTCTATGTAACTTGGCTCTATGTAACTTGTCCAAGGGCTCCGCACGGAAGAACCCTTCGCGATGCTTTCGGGAAAACGTTCAAACATAACTCGTTGCAGGAACGCGCCTGGACGTCCAGCTTGCGCTCGCCCGCACGAGCTCACAGCTCACGGGCGTGGGGTCTTTTATGTGGAAATCAGATCGCGTTTTGCTTTGGAAAAGACCTCCAGGAAAGTTCTTTTGATGCGGAGGAGCAAATAGATAGGGTCGAAACCAACAGCGGGTGTGTGTGCTTGGATGCTTGGCACGGCCAAAAAGGCGAAGGCGACCGACGCAGCAAACTTCTCGCTTTTCCTCCTTTCCCCAAGAGCAATTGCTCAAAGAGCGCAATTGGCCAAGGCTGCTCCAACGCAACACTCTACAGGCATGACGGGCACAAGTGGCTTTCAGCTTGGCTCCTGGACAGCCAGCCAAGTGCTGCAATGAAGTGTTTTGTAGGCAGCCGCCGACTTGCGCCTTGCGGGGCCCCAAGCCTTAATCCCTCGGCTAATCCACCATGCCGCCGCCGAAGAAGAAAATAATGCCACAGCTGTGGGGCGCAAGAAGGGCGTACGCTTTCAAGCTTTCATCAGGAGATAGTTTTGCATGAATGCCTGTCCTGTCCTTGCACTGATGCGCGATGGGCGCGAAAGCCAAGAGGCCATGTTGGTGCCAAGGCTGTTGTCCTCTGGCAGCGTGGGAACAGCAGTGCCGCGAAAATTGACGCAAGGGGAATCTTGTTGAGAAGCAAGCACGCCAATCAAACATTCCAGCAAAGGTTTCCGCACCACTCAGAGCCTTGCGCCTTCGTTGCAGCAAGTTAAACAGGCAAGGTGACAAGACTACTTGGCCAGCACTGCACCGTTTCCATTGTGCCGGCAGGTGCGGGGGCCTGAAACACATCAGTTTTCGACTGAAGGGGTAAACAGGCTGCACCGGTTTTTGAAAACCTGCCCTCTCTGCCAACGCAGCTACTTCTAAAATGTTTGCGTTGGGCTGCTAAAGCAAAGGAGAGGGTTAGGAGGGTCAAACACAGATGGCAAACCGCACGCCAAGACTTTTTTTGGCAGGAGGTTGTTTGAAGTGCTTCTTCCGGGGTGGGCGCGTCCTGTCTCTGGGGTATGGTCCCAAGGCCTTTGAGCAAGTGAGAGATTCATCGGGAAGGTGGTCCTATCTTTGGCTGGAGCGCAGGCCTTGTGAAGGAGTCTTTGAGGGGATGCTCGTCTTCCAACGTCTTCGTGGTGCCCACCACAAACTTTTTCCTGACCCTCCATGATCTGAATGCGTGGGTCCTGCGCGACATCCTAGCTCCACTTCTCTCAGAGATCAAAACAAAGACATTGGTTTTCATGGGCTTAGCGGAGAAGGGCAAGACCCCTGCTGCTCAAGCAATTGCCATGGCCATTTCAGAGTATTATGTCCTCAAAAAACAATGCTGAAGAAGAGCTGCCCTCCTTTCAGCTCTGTTCCAGTCTTGACCAGCTACGTGGAGAGCCTGGTGTCAAAGCACGCCCAGACATCTTGGATGATGCAGACACGAGCTCCATTCCCATCCCAAAGCTCAAAGCCTTCCTCGACTCGAGCTTGATGGAGTCCCACACAGTCGAGCGGTGGACTACCCGTAAGTTTGTTTTGCACCAGCTGCGCATCGTCTGCGACAACAAGGTCAATGAAGCAGCGGAACCTGAGGTGTCTGACTCAGGCCAGACGATCTCATTTGGCAGCTTCTTGGACATGATTGCACCGGCTTTCCCAGAAAAGGCCTCCGAGCAAGACATGCTGGCCTTGCTTAGGCGCGCGCGCTGGGTAGTCAACACGCCGAAGGCGACCTACGTTCGCAAAGCTGGAGGAGGAGAGGGTCCCTGTGCGTGCAATCCCGTACGAGAACGGCGTCATGGATTTCACCAGTGAAGAAGGCAAGCGTGTCATTCGGGCAATGAAGGATGGCAACCCTTCCCCGCCTAGTGATTGGTTGTTCAAGCGGCAATGGAGTCATGACTTCTTGTCCAGGATCATTGACAAGGGCCTCGTTCCTCCCGCAACTACTGTCATTCGTGGTCGTGCTTCAATGATGTGTTGAAAGTCCGTGAAGTGAAGCCCCGGTTGCCCGCATCTGGTCGCCTCTGTCTGCTTCATCAATCATTCCAAAGCGAGGCGTCTCTTTGAATTCTTCCACACGTTGCGCAGCTGATCCACTGCCACGCCAACACCTTTTCCCCCCTTCTTCTTCAACCCGGGTCGTGGTAGACGCCCTCCGTCTTAATCTTGTAGCTCTTGGCAGCGTCCGTGTGGAGCACCACGCGGCGGCCACGAAGATGACGTTCAGCGGGTGGGGGCCAGTCAACTTGCGGATGGCTCCCGGTCCTTCATCACCAAGCTGGAAGGCCGCTCCATTGCTCCCACAAGATCGACTGTTGACCACATCCTTGGAGGTCCTTTGACACATCCGAGCGGTCGAAGCAGCACTCGTCTGCCTCTACATCCTCCCATCCTCTCTTTCCACCGAAGATTCTCCTCTTTCTCGACAAAGTGTTGCCGGGCCACCCGTCATTTTCTCAATGGCCTTGTGGTTCACTCCCAAGATGAGTCGCGCCTGGGCGTGTTTGGAGCCCACCAGAAGTAAGAAGAGCACGGCAGCGTGGGTTTGGAGAGTCAGATGTGACTGCCCCCCTGCCGCAGAGAAATAGAGGATGAAGATGTTGCGGTGTGAGAATGCTGCGACATTTCCAGCTGCTGCATTTGTAGCATTGCTGACCTCGGTGACGGATGGCGATCACCTTCCCTTTCCAGCAGCGAGGGCAAAGCTTGTTGTTCCACTTCGGGAGAATGCCGTCCTGCTGGAGGATTCGGATGATCTCCGTGTCACTTTCATTGAGGAACTCATTGAGAGTTCGCCCCCACTTGGATTGTTGCAGGCGAACTCCCCGTGCGGGAACTTCGCGCGCGCCACGTACGTACTTGACCTTCTTGTATTCCTGGGATTCTGAGACGATGGCCTTTTCTGCATTACGCGAAGCTTTCCTCTCTTTGGAACGACCCCGGGGTTGAACCTCTTGGCCATGATGCGGCTAAGCAACCTCGCAGAGATTGATGTTCCAAATGCTGCGGCAGAGATACAAGACTCAGCGAAGCAAGTCAGTTGGCAACATGCTGCAATGACTATACTGAGGCATATCATGTGCGCGCAGATCCGTTTTGGCTCATGCGCTGAAACACGCCTCAGCAGCAGCGACGCGTTTTTGACCACGCTGCAGTTCCCAAGAAGACTACGCTGCGCTCAATGCCCCGAGTCATTCATTGCATGGTTGCGTCTGCAAGAAAGAACACTGCTAATATACGTGCACATGTGTCACAGCGCTCAGTCTGAAGGGCTTTCCAGCCCAAGTCCATGCTGGAAGCAGCCCTGGTCCTCGTCGACGTCCATCTCAAGACCCCTCCACAGTATGTCAGGGTAGTGAGCCACAAGATGCCAGATGGTAGCGCAATCAAGGTGAAAGCTGGAACACAGCGTGTGGACAGAGCGTGGCGCTTCATAAAAGCACGCCTCCACAAGAACCAGAAAGTGAAAGCCGGCTCCAAGCGAATCCGGGCCCGCATCCGTTCTGCCCAGTATGAGTACTGGTGCAGGACGCAATGTCTGCATATGTGCAGAAAGTGTAAAATGTAGCCAGACACAGGGGTATCGATGCTACGCGAAAAAAGAGCTGTGCCTCATCCGTCACGTCCAAGGCGTCTTTCTTCGATGTCCGCGGTCAAAGTACATCTGAACCAAGCCCAAACCTGGGTACCTGGGCGGGGGGTAGCATATATATGTATATATATATATATATTTATTCCAAAGAAGAACAAGGCAAGGAAGGAAAGGAAGGGATGGGAAGGGAAGGGATCCAAAGGGAAAGGATGGGAAGGGAAGGGATGGGAAGCGACGGCATGGGAAGGGAAGGGAGGAATGAATGAAGTAAGGAAGGCAAACCAGGTTCAACCTGTTCGGGTAAACCATAGCTACCTCACAAAGGGGGCTCGCAAGAATCAAGTTTCCGCTTATTTTCGGTGAGTCAAAATTTGTTGCCCGTATAGGTTGCCTTTTGTGACATACACCCAATTGACTTGGATGATGGGATGGAACACATTGGTATACTCCCCTTAAGGTTGTCCCATGAGGATCTTTCAAGCCTTTGGAGGCCAGTTTTGGCTCTTCTCGCCAAAAGGAGTACAATGAGTTCTTTACAGGCACCAGGCCAGTTTGGATCGGATCCCGGTGGCTTGGATAGCACCCCACCCCAGAGACGGTTGGGCAGAGCAAGTCAAAGCTAACGTCTACCTGTCGGATATTCTGATTCTGTAGGATCCATAGGGCAATCACTGAGCAAATGTTACTGTGGCTATCTCTGTGGAGTGCAGCACTTGAATCCTTTGTCTCAATGGTGTGAGAATGATCGGGGTGCGTCTCAACACCAGGGCCGTCTTCAAGCGGTTGATTTGGCTTTCGGTTTCCTTCAAAACCCACCATCAGATCGAAGAAGGAGTTCCCGTTTCGCGTGGCAAGGTGATGCTGCGAAAGAAGCTCCTTTGGGCTCTGCAGTTTGCGAAGGCCGATGGGGGAGTGAGATTGAGGCAACATGATGAACCACTCAGGACCTACTGGGAAGCAACAAGTCATCCATTAGCAAGGGCCTCACAATTTCAAGAAGCCACAAGGAAAAACCCTGGGCTCCAGATTCGGTATTTCTGTGCAGAGGGGCCCAGCTTTGGTCAGTCTCTTACAAGCACGCAGAAGCGTGCGAAGGAGCGAAAGCGACAAGTCGAGGGAATTGATGCCAGAGGCCGAAGAATGTCAGGCTTCCTGAACAGGCGGATCCGCTGATCTGACAACATCATACACCTCGAGACTGGAACTAAGACACTCCTTGGGACCCCAAGCGAATCAGGCGAAGCGAGACCGGATCGAGAAGAAGGCCAGACATTTCTGCAGAGCATCGACCAGGGTGTTGCGAGAAATTGTCCCCCTTTCGGACGTGTTTTACTATCATCTTTTGTGCTGCCTTGCGCTGTCCTGATCCGCGATGGTTTGAAGCTCATATAGCATCCCATGAGTTGCGCTTTGCGCCAGATTGAGCGTTTTCGCCAAGCTCTGGTGTCAACCGACCCGCCGGGGGAGGCGTGGCCGCGATGGTCTGTTGGCTGCTGAAATTCGAAGATGATGATCGGAGAGGAACTCATAACAGCAACCGTCTATGGTTGGGGCCTACCTATCTTAAGACTCGGCTCACTGGCAAAGCATGTGCACCAATCCGAAGGGCCTGTTCCGCATTTAGGGGCGCTCGTCCCGTTCGGCTGTCAGACCTCTGCGCCAGGGATCTGAGGGCATGGACCTGGTGCGTGGGCGCGGAGCCCTTTCTGCAGTCTTTCCAGCGTTTCCAGTGGCTTCTTTTGGTTTTACCCAGACCTAGTTTGCAAGTTGCGATGGTTGCTGCTGAGAGAGCTTGATTTTCGGCACGCCAGAAGAGGAGGTCAACATGCCGATGCAGCCACGGGTTGAGCCATCAGGTTGAAAGCGGGCATCCCGTTGCCAGTGGATCCCTCCCTGTCTCTGGCCCTCGACTCAGTGCTTTGCTGGGCAGTACGCAGCCTTGTCTACAAGGTACGCTCTTAGGGTCCGAAAGACAAGTGCCCGTCCTTGTTGTATTGACCCACTGGGGTCTGGGGCAAAAGGCCGCAGACATCTCGGGTAAGAGACACCCCACAAGCTGTGGCCTGCCTGTGCCATGCCCGAGGTTGGAGTGCTGCCTGAGGAGCCCTTGCCTCAGTTTCCTCGCGGCGCCAGGTCCAAGGGGCCTTTCAGGGACTCATGGCATAGAATGCTACCTGAGTGACCAGGGTCAAGATGAGCACCAAGTTTTGACCCGAGAAATGAAGAGCACCACAAGGTTACCATCTGACAACTGCGGACTGATGAGCCTTGTGTTTGACGTCCCTCTTTTGGTCCAGCATTCAAAAGGGGCCCAGGTTGAATTGGGACAGCCCCCGTTGCGAGCCACCTCTCTGGCTCCCTAGGTGCTCCCTGCTGAAGTCGGCCATGAGCCCCGGAGTGCTGGCCTGCCAGGTGGAAGCCGGTCGCTGGGTTTTGTTGTTTGGGGGTCGAGAAAGCCGTGACCTCTGCCAATAGTCTTGGGGAACAGTGGCATCAAACTCCGACTGAGGAACAAACGCAACTTCTGCAGAGCGCATTCATAAGCATTCTGTGTAGCAAGTGCAAGCGCTCTGCGAACGCAGGCTAAAGGCAAATGCAAGTGCACCCGGAATGTGAGGACACTCCCACGTGGACGCATTGCCGCTTAAAAACAGGGATGCCTTTACGGGGGAGGAAGAATGCATGGTCTCAGCCGCCGAGCCCAGAAGGCATTGATTTGCGGCTTTTGCGTTTGCATTTTGTTGCTTTTGCGTTTTTTTTCTTCTTTTTTCAAGCACCCTGGAAAAAAAAGCCTCGGCCGACCAAGACTCACGCCAAGAATGCCCCAGTCCATACACTGGCCCACAACAAATTCCGATTCTAAGCAATAAACAAGCCTACGCCTAAGGCAATCCCAACCCGACCCTTACCCAAGCCAAAGGCCTCCCTAAACCCACTCCAAAGCAACGCCGAACCCCCCTAAGCCAAGCTCAGACTCTGAAGCCAGAATTGTTGCCGCACTGCAGCAGGATGAGTCAAGATTCCACAGTCTCATATGTCGCCAGGTCCGGCAATCGCAGGACCCCCATGGCAAGGTGAGCATCAAAAAGGCGGGCGCCTCGAGGGCTGACCGAACATTCACTGATGCACTCGTGATGTGTGTTCGTTTCCCAAATTTTGCGTGTCTCCTTGGTAGATGGTTTTCAAGAAATGCACACGGCAAACCTGCCATTTGGAAGGTCTTGACCAGACATACACATGTTTTTGCCCCGCTCTTTGGCGCTTTTTGCATACTTGTGAGCTCATTGAGCTTGGCAGTGCAATGCCGGGGAGGGTGCGTGAGGTCATGGTGAAGGAAGGTGACGACCTGCGGCAAGACCAGCAGGGCCTCTGAGGGCTGCAGACAACAGGGTCTAGCATTATTTTTGAACCGGCGGGGATAAAGGGAAACAAACGGGGCGCTAAACCCAAATGGATGGTTTCCGTTGACACTTCGCTCAGACTTGGCTTTGGCAATCACTGCAGTTTACTGAGAAGTTCAATTGGTTTCTCAGGGCTGTCAAAAAGTTGCCCTGCTCGGCATCGCAATCCCACACAAAAAAGACAGACCGCCAATTTGGCCAAGTCCCATACCAGCAACTGATGAACGCATGAGTAACTCATGGTTGTCTATTGATTTTTTTGGGGAGAACATGGGAAACCGGCCCCGACTCCCGGCAAAACACAAGGGGAAGAGCTAGGATTGTCCATGGCTATGGCACTTGACAACTTGAGCTGCAAAGGCTGGTCCTTCAGCTCATCATCCTAATGGATTCGATCCTGAAGAGATACGGCTGGGGCTCCCAGGTGCCCAAACAAGTCGAGCGGGGACAGGAGGGCTCCTTTCCTTTCTCCGTTTTGTTTTCCCCTTTTGGTGTCAAGACCAAATCTCAGCACCAAAGGACCAAAGGGCCTGGCACCAAAGGGCTACCGATTGCATCCGAACTGGTTTCCGAGGCCTGGACCTGCAACTCACGCCGTACCAGGTCATTGCTGCTCGGCCTTGTGACGTGATGTGAACTGGGCCGGAAGTTCAAGGATCCTTTTGCTGGTGATCGTGAGAGAACGTCAAACACATGTTGAGTTGCTTCTTTTTGGGCGGGTCCAGACTTGAATTGCCAGGCCTTTGTGACACATCATGGGGGTCTGATTCCTGACGACCTTTGTGAGCAGGTTTGCGCAACAGTCAGTGTCAGCCTTGAGCTTCAAGGCAAGTCGATGTCCCTTGCAAGTATTAGTAGCCGGCCTTTAGACACGGCATGTTCAGAGGTTGGGTTTGCAGGGAAATTTGTAGGAAGTCAGGATTCTGTCGAGGGCCAGCATGGCCCATTTGCCGGTCGGCGCAGCTTAGGCACTCTCCCGCAACGACGGCATGGTGGACTTTGCACCGTGGCAAGCAATGACTGCAGGTGACATGGGGGCAGTGGACAAGCAAGTCTGACGGTTGGATCAAGGCTAGCTAGAGGGCCTTCCAAATAATTGGTTTGTCCTTTTTGTTCTATTTGAAATGGCCAACTAGAGAGATTAGGCATACCCATGGCAGGAAGGATAGTTGTTTGAGCAGTCGACACATCTTTGAATTGAAGTAGAGCCTTCATGGCCTTTCGCACTCATAAACGTGGCACGAAGCGGACACACTTTCAACATGGTCAAAGGCACTCGTCATCCAATAGTTGAGCATTGGGAGCCCTTTGCTAGCGTGAACCCTCATTAGCTTGTGAAGACTTGTCGGTGGCTCAGGCATTGCAATTTCTTGGGCGACAGGAGCTTTGTGGTTGCGAGCTAGACTCCAAACTTGTCTCATCGACCACCTCACACACAAGCAATCCTCAAGCGCTACACCCTCCGTAAAGTCAGACGAGATGAGCATTTGGTAGGTTGCAAGACTTGCCGAGTCTGCACCAGAGTGGTGCATTAGCTTTCCCGATTTTGATTAGATCTTCAGAGAGGATGCCGTGGAGTTGAGTTGAGCGCGATCAAAGGTTCCAAACTCCGCCAACCTGTCGAAAGTGCTGAAAGAGCACAACAACGCACGGGCCTTGGCCCGATCAGAGCCTTCATCCGTGAAGTCAAAGTACACCAGCAAAGCTCAGAGGCCTCCTCGCATGGGCCCGGGACATGTCGATCGAGTTGTTCAAATTTGAAGGGACCGAGAGGAAACTGAGCCGAGTCACGAGAGGTGCTGAGCTTTCTGTGACAAGCCCCAGATAAAAAGCGCTTCCTTCCTCAGACCCGCTTCAATCTCTGGTGCTTGCGGTGGTTTTTCTGGCGCCGGCACTTGTATTGCCACCGTTCTTTGGATGTGCGCCCGTTTTTGGGGTCTGTAGGAATACCAAACCACCAATCCAAATCACCAAGGAGCTCCGCACCACTTTTGTGGGTGGTGGACATGTCACAGCGGCATGTGTGGATTCTGGGTTCACCAGCCGAGCTTTGCCCTCAGGACATCCAGCAGTTCTTCCGCACCCATCATCCAGTATCTTAGCTTTAGCTATTGCTGGACTCGTATTTAGGAATGAGTCAGAGCCAGGGGAATTCCTTGTTCTTGTAGGCTTTGAGCGTGGAAGAGCACGGAATCTGACTTTGACCTGAGCGTTGAGTCTTGCAAGCCTCGCAGTCCGGCAGTTAAGTGTTTCTTCCCCCTAAATGGTTGATGCCGGGTGCTGTGCCAGGGTGCTGTTCGCGGGTGCAAGGGTTGTTGGCCATGGTGTGACGGGAACTCGCAAGGCGGCAAGTGTTGCTGAGTTCCGTTGCAGAGTGTTGCTGGCGAGTGAGACTGAGAGCCGAGTTTGTTGCTGGAGGGTGTTGCACAGGGTTTTGGTTTTGGCGCAAGCAGAAAGCTGAGCGCTTCAGGGTTTTTTCTGTTTCAAGCCGCTGATATAATTTTGCGTGACCGCTCACATGAGCAAGGGACAAGCATATTGGCAATTTTTTCCTTGAGAATTGAATCGGATCCCAAATCCGTGCAAGCAGAAACTGATATGATAGATGGCTCACGTCTCTAGCAAGCCGAAACAAGCGTTTTCCCTGAGATCGGTTGAGGGAAACAGACAAGCTGTCTAGTTTTTGGAGTCCCCTTTAGGCAACAACAGGGCACTGGAGGTGCCTGTTGTTTCCTCCAACAATTTTTGGGCTGAGGCCAAGGCTTCCGGAAAGGAGGACCAGCCATGCACCCGGATGAGAAGTGGTGACCAGTGACAGCGGGTTCGAAAGGGCGTCAAGGTGAATTCGCAACTAGTTGCTTGCAAAGGTTCAAGGTGTTTGTGCAGTGAACCATAGGGACGCGTAGGGACCCCTATGGATTTCCCCAAATAAACTGGAGTTTGGACAAATAGGAACGAGGGGCTGATCCTTGAGGTCCCTAAGGCAGTCGTGACTGTTTATCCTTTGCTTTCTGTCAAACCAAGTCCAACCACGGGGCCTGACTCTTGCCTTTCCAAACTAAGCGTGTTCAAACCACATCAACACGTCTCTGGTGTCCCTTGTACTTGGTTCCCTCGAAACGGGGCCCAAATCTCGCTGTTCAAACCAACTCTGCGCCATCCTGGGGCCCACCGGCCTCGGGTGAGGCCGGCCTGGGGACCTCAGAACTCCTATGGCATCAAGGCGGAGGCATCGGGGGAATTGGGCGACACGGCGAACCGCCCGCGAATCGGCTTTCAACAAATCGCTCGGGGCTTGCCGGCTGAACCCAAGGTAGACCTTGAAAGGTGACTATTTCACAAAGCCTATGTGAGCAATGTATGCTTGAATGGTTTGGCACTGCACGCAAAGAGGACCCAAAAGGATCTCCGTAGCAGAAGATCGACTCATGGCATGCAGCTTTGCTGTCTGCAAAGCATCCGTGGCTAATTCCATATGTGCTTATTGCTGAGGTGCTCGAGAACTTTGCGGAGCGCTCAGCTTTTTGCCGCATGTGCTCAATCTGGTGCTGGGAGGGGGCCCAGGGGGAGTCGCTTGTCAAACCTGAAGTGGAGGAGTTGTTGCGCCATGCACACCAGACTTTGGGTTCATAAGATTCTAAGTCTACGACAAGAATGAACAAGACAAGGACTCGCAGCAATGCGCTTGGTGCTTGGGAAGCCAGGCAAAGGAGGGGAGGATATTCCCAGGTGCGCAGCTGCGCCGGCTACTGCGCCTGGCGCAAAGCGATGCGGGACATGCTGGGGGAGGGGCAGTTCCATGTCAGTGAAGCCCCACACTTCTTATTCTTTTCTTTTTAATTACATGTATTCTGCAGAGAGGACGAATTGACACTTGGAGGGAGGAGGGTAGTAGGGTATGCGAGTATGCGGCAGCTTGCTTGTGGTAGAATTGCTGGAAGACTGTTACAGCCATTGGATGCTCTTTATATACTTGCTTGCCTCTGCCGGCTAAGGGACAGAGGTTGCCGGTTGTCTTTTTCTTGCTCAATTAATCGGAGTTTAACGTCACAGCACTGCACCATCACAAAGCAGCAGCCGGGCCTCAGCCACACTGAGGTCATCACTTACATCCTGGGCATTGGAGATCGCCATCTTGACAACTTGATGGCCCGCGTCCTGCATCGGCTTCGCTTCTTCCGAGTCCGTTTGGAGAAAACATTGGAAGCCCCCTTCCCCATGTTTCCCAAACAAAAAGGAGGAAGCGGATTTTGACCAGGCGGCCTCCTTGTGTTTTTTGCAATCAGTGGGAAGGCTTGCTTGCCAGACATGCTCTTGAGCATGAGGGATGGCTCTGTGTTGGAGTCAGTGATTGGGTCCTTGATTTTCCCTTTTTGCAACTCCACCATGGGGCATCTCCATTTTAGGGCGTCCCTGCTGCAGTGCCAGGACTGAACAGGAACTCTCACCTCACTCATCCCTCAGTTTGAAGTGTGCCATGATCAGCACCTGCCCGCTTGCCAATCAAAACGGTCAGATGCATGGTCCGAGAATCCTGTCAGATTGTCGATGGGACCTATGCACTGAGAGGACCCTACTATGGAGCCAAGGCAAGCCCCGGGCTTTTGTCCCAAAACTTGGAGGCGAACCAGCCGGTAGAGCGATGGGCCTGTCATGGCACTGATGACCCCGAAGTTCAGGTTGCGAACGTTTCACTCATGAGCATCTGACGATACTACTGCTTGCCGAAAGTTGAGTTTGGGGAGGACATGGGGGAACTTCCAATACAGGCTCCGGCAAAAGGGGCGAGTGCCCTCCTGATTTCTCTTGCCATTCGGAAACGCCGCAGGAGTGACTCCGAGTCTGTGTCGATCATGTTTTAAAGCGGTGTAGCGGTGTAGTGCGCAAGGACCAAATACATGACTGCACGGCCAGGGATACGGTTTCGCAACTTGGGAACAGGTATGTGTTTTTTTCTTCTTCTTATATGTATATGTATGTATATACATATATATATACATATATATATATATATATATATGCATTTAATGCAGGTAAGCTGACGCATGTGGTTGGGCCCCAAGTGTCCCGAAACTTGGCGCCCAGGTCACAAAGGACGGCCGGCTCTTCCACATCGATTTCGGCTTCATCCTGGGCGGCCAGCTTAGTGAATTCCAGGCTTCCCCTTCATTGAAGCCGTGCATGCTTTTTTCAATGGCCACTGGGCAAGTAACAGTGTGTCAAAATAAGTTTGACCAGTCAAGGACGCCGTCTAGCCCAAGTGGCAAACTTGGGTTTTGGCATGGGGACTTCAACCGGGGGGGCTTGAGTTCGCCTGAGGCAAGGATCCCAAGCCCTTCCCTCCACCCATGCGAATTTGCAAGGACTGGGTATTGAAGCTGAGGGAAGGGTCATGGTAATTTTCGCACGCGGCGCTGGGACTTGCAGAGATGGGCCGAAACCTATCACTTGGGCAGGAGATGGTGGAAGGCTGGCGAGTCCGAGAGTGCCTCATGCGAATCCACGAGCACTCGCTTTGCCTTTGCGGTGCAATGCATCTTGAGCCTTTCCCTTGCGCAGGCATGGGCGGCAACTCCTCCCCTGGCTACCAGTCCTTCAAATCCAAATGTTGCCAGGGACCAAGGCCCCACGTCATTTGGCTTTGCAGCCCGTTTTCTTGATTTGACGGACGAGACGTTGAGCGGCTGTTGAATGTGGCATGTCAGCCGTGTCCCAATGGCAAAGGAGGGCGAACAGCAAAAGCTGCTTGAATTGTAAATACCAAGCCATAAATGGATGCAGAGGCATAAAAAGCAATTTGCAGTCCGGTTTCTGTCAAAAGCCACGCAAAGGTCAGGCCTTCAAGATTTTGAGGCACGAGGGCGGGGCATGGGACAGACAGTGGATTTTGGCGTGCCAAGCCGTCCGCATTCGCTTTCTTGGCTTCTTTTGCAGAGCAAGGTTGCGGATTCTGATGGCCCCTCTTGGGCTTAGGAGGAAGCTTGGGAGACGGAGAAGATGTCATCGCTCTAGGCGCCACTCCAAGCTCATCATCAACCTTTTGTACTTGATGACAGATTCTGGGATCAAGGCAGGGCTTTTCTGAAGGGCAGGGTGGGACGCAGTCAGGCAGTTCGCAGAGTGTGGCGCAATGCGCACCGTTGCAACTGAGACACGTACCGCGAGCACTGAGGACATTTGCAGTGATCCTCAGTTTGCCATCCTCAAGGTTGAGCAGAAGTTTCAGGCACGGACCGTGTGAAACAACGGAAAGCATGCTATTGTGAGTGGCATCCCGTGGCACTGATCTTGATCCCGGGCTGGTGGCAACAACTTACATCCCGGTGTGTTTGTGATGAATTCTCGACTTCACATATTTAATCTTGGCATCAGATGCGATCACCGCTGCTCGCAGAACTTGCTTCAGTATGTTCCGTGAGGCCCTGATGGATGACGAGCAGGCCGAGGAGACCAGCCCTCGGTTTTTCGTGTGTATTTTTTTCAGGTCGGTCGCAGCTTCTAGGTACCAGTCAAACGCAAAAGGTTGTACCAAGGTAATCCATTCGCTCACCTGCTCTGCTTCAGAAGGTGAGTCCAGGGTCCCTCAGGAAACTATAGGAGAGCCCACAGAGGAAACTATAGCGACCTCACCCAGCCAAAGCAACTTCAATACAAGACATTTGTTAGCAGCATTGGATGATTTGCTGTCATTCCTCGTGTTCCAATCGCTTTACAAGATATTTTGGTCCAGCCTGAGGCATTTCCTCAACCTGATCGACGAGTCCGTCAGCGCGCTGGGGGCCCCAGCCAGACGCGTTTCTGGTGTGAGCTTGGGTGTCGCCATAACGGAACAGGCAAATTGCCACAAGGCGACTCACGCAGACAACCATGGGGTCAAGGAATGGCCGGGTGTGTGTGTCAACGCGGGTCAATGCCCTCATATGAGCCATAATCAAAACCCGGGTAGATGAAGGTTAGTAAGGGGCAGTCCCAGCCGGAAATAGTTGCGGCCGCCTTTATAATTCTTTACATGGTTCTGGGTTCACCATTTTTGCAGGTTTTGATTGAGACTCATATCTGGTCTCCAAAAGAGGGGTCCCATGGGTTAGCCATTCCTGGGCCTCGGTTGCTCTGAGGCTGATGCCGGTGCTCATGGAATTTGGACACAAGATCTCCATCGCCATGCAGTGAGCCGGGCTCTGGAGCTGCACTCCGTTTCCCAAAATTCGTCGTGGTCATTCTTCAGGCCCTTTGCCTCGGTTCAAGATGGACGAACGGCAAGCCCGACTATCGGACCCCCGAAGGATTGGGAACCACTCAAGTCAATCCCGCAAGCGTGCGGGTGGACAAGGTCGACAGGTCGACAGGTCGACAGGTCGACAGGTCGACAGGTCGACAGGTCGACAGGTCGACAGGTCGACAGGTCGACAGGTCGACAGGCGGGCGGAGAAGCTTCCGTGCCCGAGAGGTGGTCATGCAAGGCCCGTTCGCGGGGGGGACCAGGCACGCCACTGTACAGCTCTTCAGCTTCACCCTGGTGGCTTGGAGGTTGGGGGGTCTAAATAGACCCTGGAGATGAATGAGAGCTTCAACTCGACCCAAGCCATCTGAGGGGAACCTGAGCTCTGGCGTAAGCGAGAAGGAAAAGCGCGGATTCGCCGCATGTGTTTGTAGTTCTGCGACAATGGTCAGCATGCGTCAGCTTTTGATTTCGGCGGCAACATCCAGGTGTTTCGAAAGCGTGCAATTTTGGGACAAAGTCTGGGTGTTTACTCGGGCAATAGGATCAGCCATAGGACGACTTTGGATCAACCACTCCCAGAAACAATCTTTTGACGAGTCTCAGTTAGCCACTTTTTGCCGGTCCTTTGTTGTAGCGCAGTCAAATCCTTTCTGGTCTTGGCTTGACCAGTCCTGGTTGTTTGCTTTTGGACAAGTCCTGTGCCCTCTCATTTGAATCCGCCTCAATCCTTGGAGATGGCACCCATCTAACACTCAAACAGCAACCATTTCACAGGTTAAGCTTGGGTTGTTCGGCTGAATGATCAGTGAATCTAAAGCGTCCTAGTCTTACCTACGATTGCGGGGGGGTTCTTGGAAACCTGGGGACTTGATGGCTTGATGGCTTGATGGCTTGATGGCCGGCGTATGCCATACATAGGGGCAGGCTCGCCTGTCCCGCGGCAGGACCGCTCCGAGGAGGAATTGCGCAAGGCGCTGTTTGGTCGGCTTCAACCGCTGGTGGAGCATGGTATTTTCAGGACATGGCAAGAATTGCTTGGTCTCACTCCCCGAGTTCCTGAACTTTATATTTTTGGGAGGACCATTTTGGTTGGTAAACAACAAGCTCAGACTTTCTTAGGCCAATCAACTCAGGAAGTGAGTGGTTATTCACGGATTCGTGATGGTAGTTGTTTATCCTCGCAGATGTTTCAGCTGCGGATTCCCACCTCTTGTTGCCTGTGCAAGCTTGGTTGGGCGACAAATGCTCATTGCTAGACAGACTCCTTTTCACAGGCTCAAGCTGCAACTGGCATGTAAGGTTCGCGTTGCAGCATTCCCAAAGGGTGGGGGCAACCATCCAGTGTTCTTTTTCGAGGCTCTGAGTGGGCAATCTGAGGGATGTATACACACATTTGTATATTGTCCGCATATTATGTATGATCGTATATATCTACACATATTACACAGTTATACGATGTTTGTACACCTGCACATATATATATATATATATTGGCAGTCTGCAACAACAGCCTTGTTTGAGGGTTGTTGTAGTGGCGCAGGTGGTGCTGCAGATGGCCGCCACGGGGGGCGGCTGGCCGGCCGCTGTGCGAGAGCGGCTGATGATGGCGCTGCGCGCCCCCTGCGAGGCGACATTGTTGGGGGGTGGAAGCGGGGGTTGGGCGGTTTAAAGCTACTTGCGTGTGTCGAAAATCAGAGTCCGCCCTTTGTATGGTTGTAAGAGGATGAACCAGGAAAACACGGCACTCAGGTTTCTTGGCGAGGGAATTCACTCCTTGGTTTTGTAGCGTTTGAGTGAGGTCGACCCACGATCTGCTGACTGACATGGGAATATCTACCAAGAGTGTCCTGTCAGTTTCTATCCTTGTTTGACAGTGGGTGCAACGGACAGATCTGGGAATCATGGACACGGTACCCAGCAAGATCCAAGGTAGTCATCTAAGAGCTGGCAGGCCTTGCGCCTCGCAATGAAGAATGTTTGTGCAACACCATTTGCATTTTTCATTCCACCAAGATGGGGCAACATGCCCGTCTGGGACCGCAATTGTCGCCCAGTCAGCAGTCAGGCGACCGCGTGCTCCCCGCCCCTCGCCTTAGAGGCGCTCGCTTAGGGGGCACTGCCAGTGGTCCTTCTGTCGCTTGGGGTGGGGGGTCGGCTGGTGCTTGAAGATCATTTCGGTTCTCCTTTCGAAGTGTCTGTGGTTTAGGGCCCAATTGTCAAAGCCCGCCCGAAAATCGCTAGGTGGACGAGCGCTACACTGCAGCGCGCGCCACCAGCAGCGGCTCGTTGCACCAGGCAGCCGCGCGAAGTTTGGCAACCCGGGGCCAATTCAGCCATTCAAGCAGGATGAGGGTAGTGTTTCTTGGACGGCGCCCTTTTCGGGTTAGTTCAAAGGGAATCCAGAAGCAGAGCCACTATTTCTGGGGTCACCGAATCTTGACACACCCGTCCCATTTGCACGATTCGTGATGAGCTCACTCGGGGTAAAATGAGCTTAGCCATGAAGAGAGTTAGGCATTCCTCAATTCTGGTAGGTGAAAACTAGGCTTTTGCCGAGAGTATAGCAAACTCAGACGCTGGGACACGGGGTCCATTTTCCGAGGCAAAATTGTTTGTGCTGTTGATTGGAGGCAAGATCGGAAAAGACACCTGACCGGATAGGAGTGTTCACCCCATTTCCCCAGCACACTGGTTGATATTGGGTGGGTTTCCCTTTCAAATCATATCCACCCAGCAGGGGGATGCCAGGCTTTACTCAGCCTTGGCGCCATGACTGGCATCCCCTTGCTCCGAGCAGCGCCCTCAAAAGAATCCGCCGAGCTTCGGGCCTCAGTTTTCGAGTCGAAAGGTCGACAAGGCCTTTGTCCTTTGTCAAGAAGGTTTTGCCCGTTGGACCGTTTGGGGCATGCCAAAAGGCGAATCCTTTCTGGATTCGAAAGGATGCCTTGATTTCCAGGTTTCAATTGGCTCTGACATGAAACCACTTTAGTCCGCTGAGGCAGGGCAGATGTTTGTCTGTTTTCAATGGCTGCTCCTGACGCAGCTGCAACTCCAAATCCTCCAGGAACGGGCCGAGCTTTACCGCTCTCAGCCGGCATCAGCTGGTGCCTCAGGCAGAGAGCGAGCGAGCGAGAGAGACAGAGAGAGAGAGAGAGAGAGTGAGAGAGAGAGTGAGTGAGAGAGGGAGAAAGTGAGTGAGTAAGAGAGGGAAAGAGAGAGCGGGGAGAGAGGGAGCGAGAGCTTGCACGATGTTTTTGACTGGCAGCTGTGAAAACGATCCCTGCCAAGATACACCACGGGCTTTGCCCGGAAGATGGCAGGGTAGGACCGTCCAAATGTGCAGCCCACTATAATTCTCGGTTGATTTTCCTCAAGGACCGACAATGCTTCAGTTGTTCGATTTCCCTTTGGCCCTTTGTTGTCCATTTGGGCGCTTGCCATCTTTTGAGATGCGCGCTGCGCTGAGTGAGGTGATCCTCAGCAGCTCCGGCATCACACAATCCAGGGACTGCCGGAACCTCGGGCAACACTGGCACGTCAGGCGGTTTGGGATGGCCGTGGATCGAAGGTCCACCCAAGTCAGGAAAGGCCGCATGTTTGAGCTACAGGCGGTTCTCCGAAGGATCTCAGAAACATGTGGGATCAAGGTGGATGCGTGACTTTTGGAACCCCTGTTCGGGTTAGAGTCCTAAACGGGATTTTCTTCACATGACGCTTTCATTTGCCAAGGCTTCGCCTTCCGCGGCCCCAACGCTTCTGTGGCCCTGCGCCTGCGCCAGGGGACCTCGGTTTCAGGGCTCGATGCTTGTGGGATGGAAGCCTCAAATGCAAAACACATCTAGTATATACATACATAGATAAATAAACATATATATATATACACAAATTGTTGTTCGGGCTCCATGTGGCAGGGGGAGGGGGGTTCGCTTTGACACAAGACAAAGGCACGAAGGTAGACCTGCCATCCTGTATGTCACTGCCACACTGGGTTGGCTGCCCAGCACGCGTCTAGTCGCTCATTGGCCGAGGCCCGGGCCAAGTTGCCCGCCAGTTGGTCATCGAACAGGTGGGACCTGGGGCACGGGAGCCGTTGCACGCTTCGACCAAAGTGGTAAAGGGCGAAGCCGTCTTGATAGAACCTTGAACCAACAGGAAATGACCGCAAGGTAACCTGCCTGGTCAAGAATGCTGAGCAAAGAATGACCATCTGAACAGTACGTCATCGTCTATGCGTGCATGTATCGCACGCAATCACTACCCATTTATCTACATCTTTCTCCTGTGGCATGGTACAATCTATGTCGAATCTACATGATGCACTCCTCTAGGAGATGGCATCTATGCCACTCGTGTAGGCACTATGTCCACATTGCATTTCGCTGAAGGATGCACAGTGCGAAATTGCATTTGTGCCACTTCTTTTAACACAGTCGCCAAAGACGCTGACCAAGATAGGTAATCATTTCGATTCCATACTCTCCAGCGTCGGCCAGGTTGTCCCATGAGAATTCCAGTGAAATGACTGATTCAGCCGCATAGCAGGAGAGCTACAGCAAGGTCATGACCCTTGGTGGCCCCAACCAAGCTCTACTGTACTGGCTACAACTCCAAATCAGCGTGTGATCCAACACAGTCAGCAATCATCAAATGCTGACATTCAACAACTGTCGATGTAGGGTTTAGGATGCTAGGGCAAAACACTCTTGCGTGAATCCGTTTTCAATTGCACTAGCAGACCACTTGTTTGCCTGTTGATTCATGTCAACCTAGAGCAGAGCAACCCTGGTTGATTTCAGAAGGCTGTCCAACGATGGTCCATCAATTGCCCTCATTGGTAGAGGTCGGGCTTTGCTCAGATCGCTTTGGCTCTGACCCGTCAGTGCCGGTCGCCCTGTCGCTTCGCCTTGCTGGAAAATGAAAGCACCCCCAAGTCCCCAAGTGTAGAAATCCTTTTTGATGTCCACATTTGGGACATCTAGTTGGAGCCCTGACTTCCCTTTTTTCATTTTCCGAAACAGAAGCATCGGGCGGCCAGCCTCCGCGCTGGGCGGCGCGGCGGGTCAAGACGATGCCCCGTCGCTTCGCCGTCTTCGGCGCCAAGGAGGAGACGAGGGGCAGTTCGCCAGGGCACCTGGGTTCCTATTTCTCAAGACCCTACAAAGGCAAACTTTCCAGGGGCCCTGTGAGTTCCTATTGAAGGGATTGTGGGCCCTTAAGCCGGGGGGGGGGGAGGGCTTGACAAACATACGATTGGCGAGGGTTCTATGAGCCTTGGTGCTCATTTCAGCAGTATGGTTGATCCCAAGGACCATGGAACAACAAGCATCAGAAGCACCCGATAATTTGAAGGCTTCGTATTGGTCTGCATAGCTTTACAAAGTTTTGGGAATCCGGACCCCTTACAAATCTTGTGCTTGATCTCCACTGACAATCACCCCAAGACCATGTGGCCAATCCACGGTCTTGCGCAGCATCCCGACTTCACTTGGGTGTGGCCAAGGCTTTAACCAGTGTGATACGCACGGAAAGCGGAAGACGTGCATCCAGAAATGTCCTGCTGTATCAGTATTCCATAAAACTGCATGTCTTGCGCAGGACTCCCGGTGGACCAACCCGTGCGCAGAATGCAGAAGCGAGCCAAGACTTTGGTGTAAACACATGGTCAGCCTGTGGATGTAGATCGCCTGGCTTTTACCTGAGCAACTGCAGTTGTCCATCGCAGAATAGTCAATTCTTGGTATGAGGGTGCTCATGAAGGAGTGCTTCACACGGCTGCTTTCCCACTTGATTGGAGATCAAGGGCAAACTTGTGTTGCCAATTGCTTCTACTTTCCAGGTGCAGTTATTCAAGTTTCTCCATTGCCTCTGGCAGGGTCAAGTGTTGAACTACGCATTGAACTTGCCACAAGGTACAGCGAGTTCCTGGGTCACTTTGAGTACGTCGCTGCAGGTCCCGCAGTGCAGGAGGGCACGGGCCGGACTTTCGCCCGGTCGCCGGGACTTTTGATGTGACATGACCGGAGTTTGTGCTTGGGCCAGCGGGGCATCTTTTCGTTTGCTTGGAAGGAAGTTTAAGGGATGCGAATCCCAAGGCCTAGGCCTAGGCTGAGTTGCGGGGTCATTCTCTGACTGGCCTTCAGCCTGCCGATCCGCCATCAGGGATTGGCCGGATGTGCGCTGCCGATTGGTGTTTGTGCTGCTTTCTTGATCCCGAGTCCTTCACTCCAAAAGGTCAAAGGGTTTGCCGTTTTCAAAGCAGAAGCGGATCCAGGAAGCGCCAACACCTTTCAGGACCCCCACTCCCCGCTCTTACCACTTGGTTAAAAAGAGAGCGGGAAGCCTTTCGCCAAAAAAAAAACAAGTGCCCTCTGCGGCCACCGTGGTTTGGTTTTTGGTGTGCGCTCTCATTCATCCTGGAGATGTGTCAAAACAACGAGCCCTGGTTCAAAAGAACACTACTTGGACCCCATAAACAAGTGACGCCTGTGGTTTTTTTGGAAAGGAAGCCGACGGGTGAAAAAGCTGGGGCCAGGCCTTCGAGCTGCCATCCACGCCGCTAGAGGGCCTCCGAGTAGTCTTCGCAGGCTTCCGGGTTTGGGTGAACTCCCTGAATACTAACTTTGTGACTTCTTTGGGTCTCTCTCAGAATGCCTGTTGCATGGCTTTACAGGATGAAATGGACGCCAGCGGGGGGGGGGGGGGTTAATTTAGAGAGCTTTCAAATATAAGGCCGCTTGCTGGGAGTTTCGTGCTGCGTTTAAAGGGGACCCTCCAACTTGGTCACAGTTTTGTTACCCCCCCACCCATGGAACGAGCAGCCACGTGTAAAACGAACACTCTAACTGAGGGTGAAGGTCGAAGTGTTTGGCCGAAACAGGAGTGCCCAAGGAGAAAGCGATTAATTGTTGCAAAGAGCACGTGGAGTTTTGTGTCTTCCCGCCCGTGGAAAGTCAAAGGGCATCCACTCATGTTGGAGGGCTGGAGCGCCGCACGAGGACCTGAGTGGGGCGAGAGCTACATTTGCCTCTACCGCTTGAAGGTCTTTGAGGCATGTGCAAAGAGTGGGCCTGAAAGGGGTTGGGCGGGCTGATCGCTCGCGTTTGGATGGGTTGTGCCTACTGAAAAGAAGATTGAAGGGCCAGAGGCAAGGACACACTTGGCCAGGGGCTTTCAGCCAACAAAAGGCAAGCAGTGGGAACCCCACAGTCATTCTCCAGGCCACTCCCCAGGCGCATGTGTATTGAGGGTATCGCTTGATGGTGGGATTTCCGTGCACTGTTCTTGGATTCACCCACTGTTTGCAACGCACGGTCAGACACGCGAAAATAGTCACCCACAGATCACAAACTTGAAGTGTGGGCAGAACTATTTATTACAGTTCTACGCTTCAGGACACCGCTTGCAGCGGCGGCCGCGTCGCCTCTGCGATTCCAAGGCAAAAGCTGCTTGCACAGAGCACATGATATGAGGCCTCACCCTTGATGTTGGGGATGTCGTCAAAAAGAAATGTTTCCCTCTTCAACACATTGCCAGCTTTCAGTGGCATCGGCGTATGGGTGCCGTTTACTCATAGTACCCCTTTTGAGGCTGCAAGCAAGGGCAGCCAAAGATAGTTCTGATTTATTGAATCCACCAGTTGAAGACATCATGCTGCTCGTGAGCTAGCATTGCCCGGGTGAAGGTTTGTTGCTTAGAGGCCGAGCCTCTGCCAGGATGCCGGAGACATCGGACTAATTCGAAGTGCATGGCGCAAATCCTCGGCTTGGCAGCTGATGTCCGTGGCCTTGCAATTTGCGCGCGTGATTGTTTGTGAGCAAATGGCCTGGGGTGAGCTTGGTGAGCTTGGTACGTGCAATTCCTCTGTATATTTGTCTGCTTGTGTTTGAGCCCGCTCCAGCCATTGTGACAAGTCAAACCCAACAATGCAAGTGGAGGTCTTGGTTGATCCGAGCTCTTTGAGATTTGCATGTGGCTTTCGAGACCACTTCAGTTCTGTTTGGCTTGGAGGGAATGCAGCATGCATGGGGAGGTGGCAAGCAGCATGGGTGAGTCGCTCCGAAGGAAAAGGTGCAGATTTGAGTCTTGAAAGGATACTCTTGCAACTAACGTGCTCCAAACCTAGAACATGGGGGTCAGATTCCCTTCCCAGAGCGAGCACAGGCTTCCCCGCAAGCCTGTCAGGGATGTCCTCCCATGATTGCTGCCATGCTTGGGAGTCGTTCAAGCATTGTTGTTAAACATTGTTGTGACATCTGCTCGTTTGTCACATAGCTTTCATTATATTTTTTGGTTGTTGATTCATTCTCACATTTGGTTGAATCTTTTGTGTTGCACCTCACTTCGGCCTGAGTGTTGCGACCTTTCAAGGGCTTGCTCCTTAGATTCGCTGGCAAGGCTGTATTATTCCTAACTGTTGCTGCAAGGTCTTTGTCAGGGCAACTCAGGGTAGTTTGGAGCGGAGTCCGTAGCCTCAATAGCTTGACCAGGCCTCGGGCTTATGGGCTGAAGTCCCCTCCTTGCAGGTCACTTGGCTTCGATGGAGGGATGCCACACATTAGCTATTGAAAGGACATGTTTGTTAAGATAGGGCAACATGCATGAGCGGATGAGGTGGGAACGCACCAACGCCTATATATCTCATTGCAAGGGGATTTGGGTTGCCAAACCTCAGTGACACTTCTTATTTCACTGCTCCTGATCTTCCCCCGGCGCTGGGCAGCATGGGAGCGCGTGACACTGACCTTCCTTAGGTGCTCTAAGTGCTTGACAACCCGACCTTGAAACCTGTGGTTGTTGTGGTAGCTGGCTTCACGGCTGTTTGACCAGAGCCTGGGAGCTCTCGTGCCCCATAGTTTCACCTTAACCCCAGGCGCCAACGGCGGGGCTTTTGATCTCCATAGGGCTGAATGTCACATTGGGCGCTGGCCAGGCTTTGATGTCTCCTACGAATAAACGAAGTTGATGCTCAATGCTCCTGAGGGTTGAAGTGAGAACCTGTCAAGAGAAGAGACCCTGCAACGGTTTTATCCTGTGAACATCCGAAATGGGGTCCCAGATTTTGGCGCGTGCAACCAGGCCTCTTTGTTCATTTGTTTGGCTCCAGATTCGAGACCGAACCACTGCATGTAGAGGCGGCCTTGCCCTAGGTCAGAGTTTGCAGGTTCCCAAACCCCAAACGTGCCATGTGTCAATACGAGGCCTACCCTTCCCCGCCTGCCTATCGGCCACAGACTTGTCAGACCTCGGCAATGCCATTGCTTTTGCCACTTGGTTTTTTTGACACCCCCCACATGCACCGTTTTTGCCATGGCGCTGTGCTTGCCTCTTCTCTGTGCCAAGTTGCCGGCGTTCAGGTGAGAGAGGCCGGGGGCGAGTCAGACTTTGCGCTGCAAACCAGAGCGTGCTGTCCAGAATGGGAAATGAGGTGATACCAAGAAGACTCCTCTTGAAAGTGACGGAGTAGTTAAGGGAGGCATTGCCCTTTCAGCATCACAGAATGGATTAGATCTCTTCTTCCCGACCGCATCGTGGAGGGTTCTTCCGCTGAGACGGAGAAGTTGCTCAGGGAGCTTGCGCCGCAGAACAACTTAAACATAGAGCTTGAACAGGCTGCACAGAGAAATTTGGCAGAAAGACTTGGGTCTGCTTCTGCGAAAGAAGGCAGGCGCGCAACCTTTTTTGCTGCGCGGGCAAATGATGCTTTCCGGCCACCTATCTTCCAGTTTCTTCTAGTTTTGTTGCAGGGGCAACCGGAAGCAACACAGGGCCATTCAAAAGGATGTAGTTGTTGACACTGTGAAACAGGCACACCTGTGGCTGTTAAACACTGCTGAGATTCCGGCTCTTGGTTTGGAGAAGCTCAAGCCCAGCAAGTGATGACAAAAGCTGCAGCTCAAGTTTGGGTTTGGCAGCTATTCTGTGGGATTAGCGTGTCATTCTTGCATTTAATATGTTCAGGATGCGGATATTAGCGAGTTGGATTGGTAAATCGCAGCACCTTGTAAAACCTTAGCGCTTAGCACCAGACAACTGGGAGTTCTCGGCAACAAGTCTCTCCTAGCGCAAGATTCAGCAGCCCCGTGCCTTACTTGTTCCCAGCTTGAAGCCAGAACCATTGACATGACATAACTTCTCTTGGCAAAGCTCTGGAGGCGAGCTTGTCCCAGCTGGGGCTCTTGCAGTGGAACATCCACGCAGAGTGCTTCCGCGCGTGCGACAAGACATCGCAGCATTGCGACGCCGCCTACCCCAGCTGCCAGGAGTGGACGGGTCAGTGTGTTCCCAAGGCGCAGGGGTGCGGGCAAGTGTTGCCAGTGGGGCTGAGTCAAAGGGTTCCGCAACTGAGTTCAAATTCAAAGGTCAGAGCTGTGAAGGGGGAGACTCAACAAAAAAGCAACATTCCTGCCGTCAAGCATAGGGCAGGGCCTGCGTTTCTGAGCAGCAGCCACATCCTATTTCATCTACTTCTTCTGCTAAGGCCAAGCAAGTCAGAATATTTGCAGCTCATTCTGATCTGATGCCTGCTTTCTGGTTCCGTTTCCACCTAGCTCCCACCAGCTTCCTTCTCTCAGGAGAACGGCACCTCCTTGCTGCACTCCCTGCTGGCGGACCGGGATTTTGCCGGCCTGGAGCACTTTGATCGATCGCTGGCTCTGCCGGATGGCTTCGACCAGGCGAAGCTTCGCGGACTGACGTACGGGTTGCAATTCCCCCAGTTCTGTTTGGCCATTCCCCCTTACCCGTTACTCACAAGGGAACTTTGCCATCTTTGACCCTAGCGTAACTCGTGTTGCTTCGCCTGAGGGCCGATCAGACATGAGCACCCAGAGATCTGAGGATGGGTGTGTTTCGGCCCTTTGCAAGGTTTTGAGCCCTGGCGCGGATGCGAAAGGGAATCCTTGTGGCCTGTGTGAGCCCAGAGTCTTGATTTGAGGGCCTCAATGCATCATATTCATGGTCTTTTTCCATTGGCGCTTTCTATTGAATGCCGCTTTGTGCTTTCTTTGCTGTTGTTGGTATTTTTTGCGCTGTCACTTACTGTTCCCCCCACCCCCAGGGCCCCGATCAACGTATTTGCGAGCTTGCCCCCTTTCGCTCACATTTCGAGGACGACAAGCATTCCCAATTCCCGGCCTCGCTAAGGGCAAAGTGGGCGGGCCCAAGTCCAGGTGAACCCACCCTGTGGATTTGCACTTTGCGGTTTGAACCTTGTTGGCTGTCAAGTTTTGTTTTGTCTGATCACCTTCCTTGAAAAACTTCTACCTGGGCTTGTGAGGGGGAGATTGATTTCTAGCTTGAGCACCCCGCCACCTTTCGTTGCAGGTGCAGCACAGTTGCGGAGGTGCCAAGGGCTTCGACTACCCCTTCGACCTCGCCAGGTTGGTTTTCAGCTCGCGCTGGCGCGTGAAGCGGGTGAAGGGCAAAGCTCTGCCCCCCATGGGCGGCTGCATGGAAAAGGTGGGCAATGAAACCGAGGACAGGGGCAAATGAGCACGTTTCGAGTGCGGCGAATTGAACATGTATGACAGCCATCAAATTTGATATGTGCAAAGACAGAAGGTGCCAACAATACCATACATGCCTACTGGCTGACCTGTGGGCACCATGTGCAGTGACTGCCCTGCTGGATGCCATGAGCCATGCTCCATGAGCTTTTTGCTGTGAATGCACCGAGCTGGCAACCTACTCACCGCCTCAGCCATGCGCCGTTTCCAGTATGATATGAGCCAGGACTACCGGGCTTTCGTGGGCCAGGCCTTTGTCCACGAGTCTGGCTTTGAGGTCTTGGTCGTTGCTGCCCACTTCCCTCACCCTCACGGTGCGGGGGATCTCCAGATTCTTCGCGATGCGCTCGCGCGATTCAAAGCGCAGACGCAATTGGATCAGGCAGGATGCGGGATTCCCTCCAAAGGAAGCTGCAAGGAGATGGATGATTCGATTTCGTTTTAGAGTCCCTGTTTCGCACCCAGCGTTGTGATCTGTGCAGCCAAACATGTTGATGTCCATCGCCGGTCTCATCTGAACCTGGCAACACATGCCAGCCTCCTGTGATCTCAACCGCTCTGTGGGTCAAAGCTACCACTGCAGGCCAGCTCGAAAGGCATCGGATCTTGATGCACATGTCCAGAGCTTGCTTCGGCAGGTGCTGCTGCTGGCAGACACCAACGAGTTCAGGAGCAACGCAGAGATCATGGGAGATGTGGATCCATCTGCGCGGACGCTCCGGAGATGAACAGTTTAAAGCAAGCAGAGCCGGGTGGGAGGCTTTTGTGATTGGCAAGGGCGATAAATGACCGAATTGGCCCTTGTGGGGCGTGCGTGAAGCGGCCAAGGTCCGATGGCGGCAGAAACTCTAGGGTAGTATCTGCTCACCTTTGGGGTGAACAGAGACACATTCAAGCCTTTGTTTGAGATTGTAGACAAGCATGGGGGTGAAGTTGTACTGGGGTAGGGAGCGATGGCTACCACCTACCACCCACATGGGTGTGCCTCACTTTAGGTTTCCTTTGGAGCCAAAACGGGTTTGTTGCTGAGACATGCAAAACGGGCTCGAGCGGAGTCGCAAGGACTGTCACGGGCAGCGACTCGCACATCACGTGCTGCTATCCGAACTACTTGTACCCCTTCGACCGGATCATCGCCTCCAATTTCCCTGGTGCAGACTCTGGGTTATTTGAAGGCAATGCTTTATGCTTTGAGTTCAAGGAAGATCTCTGACAGGGGTCGCACCACTCAAATAGAAGATCATTCGCAACAAGTAGTTCCACAACACTTGTTTTTTTCCGATACATCTTTTGGGGGATCTTCTATTTGAAAGGAACGGCGCCATTCATTTCAATAGAAGATCGGCCAAAAATAATTCCGGGAATATCTTCTATAACACATGCCACATGCCACATCTCACTTGAAAGCTGTAGGATATATTGCCAAAACCTTCAAACCATGGGTGTTTTTACATTGGCCTGGGGAACGCATGGTGCGGTTCAAGTAGAACATAATGAGCATGTTCGAGTCCAAAAATATGGTCTGGAGCTATTAGTCGAAGGAAGTTTAGAAGTCTAACTTCCGACAATATCGACAACTCAAGCAGAGCAGTGCAGAGCGAGAGATAGAGAGAGAGAGAGAGAAGAAGAGATGAAGAAGCGATGAAGAAAGATGAAGAAGCGTCGAAGGAAGTTTAGAAGTCTAACTTCCGACAATATCGACAACACAAGCAGAGCAGTGCAGAGCGAGAGATAGAGAGAGAGAGAGAAGAAGAGATGAAGAAGCGATGAAGAAAGATGAAGAAGCGATGAAGAAAGATGAAGCATGGTGTGCGAAATGTTAGAAAGGTCGCGAAATGCTGTATTTTTCAATGTTTTGAGCCTCCAGACGGCCCAGAAGTTACTTCGGTAAAGCGGCGGGTGCGGAGCCTTTGGTCGGAATTGCTGGCAAAAAATCGCACGCGGCCTGCGCGCGGTGCACATTTGGAAGTCAAAATCGTAAAAACACTACATGCTCGGGCTACTTTTGGAAGCTCCAACTTTCAAAAATCGCACGCGGCCTGCGCGCGGTGCACATTTGGAAGTCAAAATCGTAAAAACCTGAGAGGGTCGGGCTACTTTTGGAAGCTCCAACTTTCAAAAATCGCACGCGGCCTGCGCGCGGTGCGCGTTTTTAAGATGCAATGTAGCTTGACAGCGGTAAAACGCATTGGAATGGCAACGCGCAAGGCTTTTATCTAACTTGGAAAAATGCGTGGCGCCTGCGCGCGGTGCGCGTTTTTAAGATGCAATGTAGCTTGACAGTGGTAAAACACATTGGAATGGCAACGCGCAAGGCTTTCATCCAATTTGGAAAAAATGCGTGGCGCTTGCGCGCGGTGCGCATTTCTAAGATGGAATGCAGCTTGGCAGTGGTAAAACGCATTGGAATGGCAACGCGCAAGGCATCCTACGCTGCCCTGTTGAGTTAGTCGCGCTCTAGATAGATAGACAGACAGACAGATAGATAGATAGATAGATAGATAGAAAGCTGGAAAGATAGAGAGACAAGTAGACAGATAGATAGAGAGGTAGACAGGCAGATAGATAGGTAGATAGACAGATAGATAGATAGATAGGGAGGTAATGTCGCTGTGACCGTGTGGCGTTTCGGCTCTGTCTTGTCAGTTGCTCCGCGTATGTCATGTTTGTTCAATGTCCCGGTTTTCGTCACCAGCATCACTAGCATCACCACCACCACTGTTCATGTTTGTTCATGTCCCGGCTTCAATCGCGGAGCGGCAACTCACATCACCACCACCACTACCACCACTACACTTTCACCAGCACTCCCACCAGCACCACACACAGGCCGAGAACATGTTAATGTTCTAGTTTGTTGTTTGTCACCAGCCGACCTACCAGCATCACGCTCAGGCGGACAACCTCTTGATGTTTTTTTTTAGTTTGTGTTCCCACAGAACGCATATACTTCCACAGACACATGCCAGTGACATCGTTTCCTTGTGTATCCCGCACGGTGGAGCGCGTCTTTTCTGACCGCTCCGGACGCCATGGCAGACGCATTTGATAAGACGGTGGCGTTTTTGGCAGCCTACTCGCAGGAGCTTGTGCAAATGAAGAAGCCGACGCTTACAGCTTTGCTCAACAGCAAGCGGCGCAGTCAGGTACCAGAGTGGGAGCGAGCCAGAAATTTCTGCAGACGAAAACTTTCAAGCTTGGAGCCAGCTCAGCAGCAGATTTTGGAAGACTGGGAGTTTGTGCTTTGTGACAAGTCCACGTTGGAGGCTGCGCCTTTTCTGGCCGGCCTTCAATGCTGTTTTTGCCGCGTGGAGGCATTTTTGACAGAGACGGCAGAGGCGATAAGATACTCAAGCAAGCCAAGCTTGCTGGCAGCTTTGCAGAGTCGACACATGCAGGAATTTCAAATGTCGAGCTTTTGCCGTGTTTTCCTGCTGCGCTATAGCGACCGCTTGGCGTCTGCGGAAAAGGATTTTTTGCTTGCAAAGGAAGCTGAGTTGTGTCAAGTGAGTGCTGCGGCAAAAGAAGCTGCAGCATCGCGTCGTGCTCCTGCCTTTGTCGAAGTGCAAGCCTTCTTCGCTCAGAATGCTGTTGAAATTGCTCAGCTACAGAAGCAAAGCTTGTCAGCTGTTGTCAGCAGCAACCGCGCGAATTCCGACACACGTTGGAAGCAAGCTAAGAATTTCTTCGACAGGCACGTGGCATTGTTGAATGCCGACCAGAAAGAGCATTTAGAAGACTGGGAGTTTGTGCTTTGTGACAAGTCCAAGTTGGAGGCTGCGCCTTTTCTGGCCGGCCTTCAACGAAGCTTTGCAAGGCTGAGTGCTTTTGTCCAAGCTTACTCTGCCGTGCTGCGAGCTCAAGAAAAGAGCTCCCTGGTGAAGGCATTGCAAAGCCTTGACCAGGGAGCTGATGTAAGCTCTTCCTTTTGTGCTATGTTTCTCAAAAGATACAGACAGCATCTGTCGCCGGAGCAAGAAGCACTCGTGCAAGGCTGGGAGCGTGACTTGTGTGTCTCCGAAACCGCTCTGGTCGAAAAGTTTTTGACTATGCTTCAGCAAAGAAAGGCCGAGCTGCAGGCACTGCGAGCTACTTGTGCCGGTGGGACAACGGGCGGGCGGATGGTAACAAAGGGTAAATGATGGAGGCTTAAGACTTGTCAAACATTTGCGGTCAGGCAGGCTCCCTGTCAGCCAGGTTTTCTTTCCAGTTTTTGTCCGAGCGGTGGAATAGTTGCCTGTGAAGACATGACCTGTTGATTTCTTTTGTGACCGTTTGGCCATGTTCGTCACAAACAAAACATGTTTGGTTTTCAATTTGGCCCCAAACATGTTTGCCCTGGTTGTTCAAGCCTCCTATAGTGGTTCTTTTTTAGAAACTTCCGCCACCGCCTTGCGCGGTACTACTTGTAGTTGCAAATGCAATTTCTTCTGTTTGAAATGTTTGGTGACCCCCAGAACATTTGCATATTCTGTTTGAAAAATCGCGAATGTTTTCTATAATAGCATCACGGAATATGGTTTTGGCTAGGCACATGGTCTCCCACTAGGGATGACGGGTGCTCCCCGTGGCCTCCCACCCGTGGTTTCCCCTCAGCCTTTTGCCCTACATTCGATTCATCTTCCGGTGACGGGGATAAATGGGATAAAGCAAAGTAAGATTGGCGTCGTTCAAACTCAGCTTGGGGCAGATTGGAAGTTCGCACGAGAAAACGCGTTCACCGAATCGAAGGAAGTGCGCACGACGCTGCCCTTCGGCGCGGAACGTGAGCACCGGGTGCCCCAGTGGGCGGCCTTGAACATGCACGACCCCGTGCTGACGGAGCTGTACCTGAGGCGCGAAAAAAAACAACGCCTGGGTTTCCAAAATGGCGGGTTTTCGGGCGGTGCCCCTTTCCTCTTCCAGATTTTCTTGGAAGATTCGAGGGTTCAGACACCCCAAATTGAAGACAATTCCATGTCCGGGATTGATGGCTTCTGTTTGGATGTCTTCTTTCTGAATTCCAGACAAAAGGCAACCAGCCATAATTGGATGTGTCCGAACATAGGGGGCTCAGACTCCCAAACTGCTGATTTGATCACAAGGTCGGGCGGGAGACGCGGCCAGCTGTGCATGACGTTGCTGTGCCTACTGTGGTTCTTCCGGCGCTGACCCAAGCACCAGCGAGGAGCTGGGCTTGCTCCAAAATTGGTGTGTGTGTGTGTGTGTTTCTGAGGGTGCCCGATTCAATGGTTGCAAGGAAGAACCAAAAGGAAACCCACATTCCGTTGGCCCCCTCCACCCCATGTTGACAGATATCCAACCCCAAAGGGGTGTCTTTTTTTGTGTGTGGGCCTGTGGCGGGGAAAGTGTTTTGCATGAGTGTGTCAAATAGGGATCTCGGTTTCTTCAAGCCATCAACAAGTGATGTTGCTGTTTCAAGACCCAGAGATCTCCTTGGTTGATGGCTCCCTTGTTTTTAGCCTCAGCTTTTGTTTGTTTGCGGAGGTCAGGAGCGCTGGTGCCGAGCCACCTCGCAGCTGCCTGCGCTCCAACTGGGGAAAGTCAGTTCGCCGAGATCTCGAAAAGTAAACAAACATAGGACAACAACTACAAAAGTACGTCGGGTGAAAGTAGACGTCGTGATTCCGCCATCTTTTGGTCATCCTCTTGACTTGCCGGATAGGTAATTGTGCCATCTGCTTTCACCCTGGCGCTGTGGAATAGGCTCTAATGCAGGGTTGGCATAAAGGCGAGGCTGAAAACAAATAGCGCTGATTCCCAAAAGATTGGAAGTAAACCGGCCGCAAGCCACGGTGAGTCAGCAGATTTGCCTCACCTGCGCGGGCAAGACATAGGCATGACATCCGCGGGTCCCTCTCCATGTCTCATTTCCCAACAGTTGGCAGGACACTCGGCCACTGGCTATTTTTGGCTTGGCTCCCCGGCTCCGGACAGCTTCGGCTCAAGGAGGGCTTTGGATTCGGGCTTGGATTCGGGTAGCCTTCTTGCAGGCGCCGGAAAACGATGGCGTGCGTCCAACTCAGAGCCGTTTGCCAATGGCAAAGACGACATGTCCGGGGAGAACGGTTTGCCGTTGAAGCGGAACCTGCCATAAGCCTGGTTTTCCGACTTACATTCAGAAATGAGGCCACTACACAGAGTTGATCTACAAACTCGTTGTTTGCTCAGCTGTTCAAGGCATTTGCTGAACTAGAAGTGCCCAACTTGGCCAATCTTTGGCTTGCAAGTTGAAGATTTGGCTGGCAGTAGGGTTGCACATGTGAGGCAAAACACGTCGGGCGGGGACCAAATCATAGACACTGCTTGTGGTCATATTTGAGAGACTTGTGCAGGGGAGAATCTGCCCCTCATGAGACATGTAGACATCGCTTCAATACAGAGAGCCGAAACTCGGGAGCCTTCTGCATCCGTGCATCGGAAGAGCTGCCAGGCATGATGCAGGTCCCCATGCCAGCATCTCCCATGCAGCCCATGCAACAGAGGCGGGGGGGGGATTGGAGATTCCGTCGGTGTTTTGCGGGACCTGGCTTGCCGCGTTCCAGAGATTCTGCAGGGACATTCGCACATGTGTCTGAGTTCGAACTACAAGGGAGTTGATGACCAAACCGTTGCTGGAGAATGCCCCAGTATGATGTTGAGGATCCGGATAAAAGTCAACCTGGCGGAATCTTTCGGGCTGCCTCGTCGATAAGGGGCAGATCCCGGAATCCCCTCCAAATTGGGACACACCTACAGCTTGGGCCAAAAACAGGCCGCTTCCCAAACTGGTTTCATACCGAGTCCCCGTTTGCGTTGACCAGCTTGTGCTTCAGGCAGATCTCGTTGCAGAGCCCGCCACAGTGGCAGGCGGGGAAGCGGACAGCCAACTAGACTGGACCCGTAGACCAGGTGACCAAACGGTTCCCAACATCGGTAGCTCGGAAAATTGGTTTCACGCTAGACGTGCCTTGTGGGTTCATTTCGATAGAGATCCAATTGCCAAAAGGGTGTTGTGATGACTCAAGAAGATTCATGGGGAAATTTAAGAGCCCCTGTTGACTGGTTGAATTCCAGCAGTTTACAGAGCAAATGACGGCACACAACTTTCCCTCATGGAAGAGTTGACCACATAAGAGCTGGTTCAAGTGTTGCTCTTCCCAATTTGCGGAAGGAAATACTTGTTACCGCTACAGATCCACACGGGACGTGCAAATCCAGTTGGCTTACAATGAGGGACTCAGAACTGTCGGTTTTGTTCCCAAACCTGTTCCGTCTGATTGACCACAGGTACTTCTGCTTTATAGCTCAGAAGTACATCAAAAGGGAAGCTGTTGGACTCATGGATATGAAACCACTGGATCCCATGGGGCCTTTTCCGATTTGGACAGGGAACGTCAGCTCCCATGCCAAGCCCGGACGCCGCGACCTCGCGGTAGAGATGTTGTCGAGAAGCGGTTGCACCTACCCTCCCATCTAACATGGAACCCACCAATGGGTCCCTTTTAAAGGAAACTGGTCTTCCAGGACCCGCTTGTGCGGCTCCATGCTCGTGGATGGGAGGGTAGTCTTTCATTGTATCTGGTGTTACCTTTTTGCTGATCATCAACTGGATCACAATATGCGGGAGGTTTGCGGCTGTCTCAAAGCTGGGAAACATCCTTTCTTCTGTTCTGCGATTGGTGCTTCGACATTTGCCGAACTCGGGTGCCATCAACAGTCAGCGCGGGAAACCGGTGAAAGCGCTCCTCTGAAAACCCCAAACACACACAGAGCACCGCAATTCCGCAATTTCCGGGGAAAGGTGCACGCCCAAAGCGGCTGTGGGTCAAAACCAATGGAATGATCCCATTTTGGTTGGTAGGTGAATTCACCACCCATAGAGCCTATTTTAGTGGTTGGATTGGGATGTTCACTGGGGGAACGATTTGGCTTTTGACCCCTGGCCAAGCGGCAGCGTTTCTTCGGCTCGGAGCTGAGGATCTCGGTCCCCCGCCCAAGAGGCAGACGGAAAACATGCAGCTCGGCGGGGGCATCGCGGGGTTTTTTGAGCAAAAGAAGGCCACCCCAACCACCCCACTTTTATCCACGGGACATGGCTTGTTGTGAATGTTTATAGAGAAACCAAAAGAAGGCCACTGGTGTGTGGAGATCCTCTAGGAAGCGCCCATTGAAGTTCTTGACAGCTTTGAGAGCCGGACGGACGGACCAACCTTCCAATTACGCCAAAGGCAACCCCTGTTAAAAGGGGGCGGGGAGCTGTTTTTTTGACGGCACTGACACACCACTCTGGCCTGCGCCCCGAGGCCGACCCCAGCTTCCATTGAGAATCAGAAGCAGGCTTATGCCACGCACCCGGTTTGCTTGCGCCCGGCTGGGGGGGGGACTGGTTCTATCTGAGGCCAGAGCCTTGGAGCAGCAGTTGGAGTCCGGAACCCGCACCATCAACGAGCAGAAGAGCCCGGGGCGCCCAGCTGCCGGCTTGAGCTCAAGCAAAATTCGGTTTGAGTTGCCATGTGAGCAACGGCTCGAAGAGTTGGGGGCACTCTCCATTCCGGTGATCTTTGGAAACGCCCGCAATGAGCTTTCTGGGCGTCGGGCGCCCAGATCAAGCCCTCGAGATCCTGCGCAACGCGGCGGAAGAGAAGAAGCTGAAGTGCCACGGGCTGATTGTTAGCCATCCCCAAGCACGGTGCTTGCCAACATGGGGGCGGGGGGTGTTACTTTTTTCTAGAAAGCAAGTCCTGGACCAACTTGGGCGGCGTACAAAAGGGAAAACAAAGACCAGCTCCAGTTGGCCGGGGGAGGGGGAGGACTGAAGTATAGCCCGTGCCTCTCTTTGGTGCTCGTGCATGTCAATGTGGAAAAGCGACCCCAACGCTGCAATGAGTCTAGGGCTGCTACACGAGGCTTTGGTGGCATCGGACGCGCTGTGCGTCAGGTACACTATGCAGCTGGAGGAGCAGGTGCTCCAGCAAGAGTTTGAGCTTGACGAGCAGTGCCACCAGCAGATCATGCAGCTGCAGCAGGCAGGGCGGGGATGAGGCCAATTCTCTTTGGCTATTTCTGGCTACGTGTGGTAATTGTGGCAAATCAGGGCGGTTGTCAGCTTTGTGACTTTTTGGGATGACCATCAAATGCCAAAGAAGGGGAGAAGCCATGGCCGAGCTGTTGCAGCTCCTCAGGCTGCGGCCCTTGTGTTTCATTTGGCGCACTCCTTGAGGAGCGACAGAAGCTTTCTTTGGCCATGTTGCCGGTCCTTTCATCAAAACCACATCTAGGGCTCGCAGAAGCCATCCTCTTGTCGCCTTCTTGGTACAGGGAAACGCCAAAACACACAAAACAAAGCACATTGGGAGAACCGCAAATCTCGTCCACGGGAGTCTTCAGGCCTTCCTTGTGGCAAGTGCTGACCCTGATAATTGGAGGTGGGAGGTGTTGCCCCCAATAGTCGAGGATCCTATCCAAACTGGGACACCCCCTATCAATCCACTGGATTCCCATCAGTTGTGAGTAGCTTGCGATTCACTGATTCACTTCTGAGAGTGAGTTGTGCGGGTTTTGGTTTGTTTTGTCTTTTAGCAGCACCACCTACAGTAAGTCCTTTGCCGTTGAGGCCGTTTGCCATTTGAGTACGGGGCACCTGGGGCTGTCGGCCTGCGGCAGGCAGCGTTTCAGCAGAAGTCCCAGCTGGAGCACCAGGCATGCGCATGTGATTCAGGTGGCGGCACCCGCTTTTGCCCCCTTCCTGGCTCAGTTGGGGAGGTTCTCAACATCATTTTCGGAGGTTGATGGCACTTACTCCACCTCTTGGAGAGTAATGTTGAGGTGTGATGTTAGACCCTCCGCACAGGTGGGCTAACTTGGAACCAGGGTCCCGGGACAACTTCTGTCTGAGTTGACATCAGGGTCTCAACCTAAGCCAGTTTGACCCTTCAAGGCAAACCACACACACACACACCGAAAGACGCCATTCCTGAAGCCCACCAGGTATTCGCCCACACCCATGACCGCTACTTAGTGACTGCCCGAAGTATGGTGGTACAAAGAAAGACTTGGCAGGCAAGTACGCTCATCATGGAGTTCAAGCAGCGGAGTATGCAGGAGGTCTGGAACAGACGTTTGAAGCTTGCTGCTGTTGGGGTTGACAAGCATGGTCATGAACCCCCTTCGGAAAGTTGGACAAGAGCGCACCGTGATCGGGGCTGAGAAGCCGGGCCTTCAACCGGAGTCTTTGCTAAGGGGAACAGCGACTGGGTTTTCACCAGGGCTCGCGTTGGATGAAGCAGTACATTGCTTGTCTATGGATCCTAATGACGCAGGTCTTCGTTTGAGGTCGCCGATTCTTGGCGCAGCTAGTCAAAAGGTACCAAGTTTTGCCATGTGAATGCTCGTGGCCAACTACGCTCGAGCTGTGCACTAGAATGTATTGGCCTCTAGGCCTGATCATACCTGGAGGAAAAATCACAGTGACCGAGCAGATCGAGATGATTTCAACTTGGTAGCGGAGCCCGTGTGTTGCGGTCCTTGCAACACCGGGCTGCGGCCATGGGCATACATTCTTCTTCGTGCTCATGTCCGCGGGACTACTTGCACGCCCTTGTCCAGACCTTCGGCATGATGAGGACTTGGGTGGGCACGACGAGCCCAATGCAGCCATGGACCCAAATCAAGAGTTTGTCCATGAGCGCCTTGCGCACTTCGGTGGAAAATCATGGCTGGCCTGCCGGACTATCAGGCTGAGAATCACGACCACGGCATAGGCATGGACAACTACGCCCAACGGCCTCAGGATGATCCACGTGGCATCGAAGCCAATGCGGCTTTGGATGCCGACTCCGGCAACTTGCCGGACACCAACCGCGGCAACCTTCAGGACATTGGCCGCGGGAACTTGCAGGACAGCGTCTACGGGATCCAGTCGGACATCGGCGACCCCGGAGACATTTCGGAGAATATGGTTCTCCTGACCTGATCAAGTTTCAGAGCCGGAGATGCAGCGTCGAGGGGGCTATGTGCCGAACTTGAAGTTCGGTGCGGGCGTTTCCATCACGCAGCACTGCGAGAATGGCATCATGCTGCACGTGCACGGTTCTCGGGACAACATCAACGACGCGACCCCGGATTCCACCGCCAAGAGTGTGGGCGGTGGTGCTGCTGCCGGTATGCATCATGGCAGTAGCACTGATGATGGGTTTCCGGCCGGCCGAGGCGGTTGGCACGGGGGGGGCAACTCGCCCAAGGTGCCGCCAACCTAGTGTGTGGAACGCCTCTACAGCTTGCGCAGCTGGTTGAGCGACCTTGTTCTCTGGGCATCAGCCACCGACATGGAACAGCCGAGGCAAGGTCCGGTGGCAGCGCTTCAGATGATAAGCGGCCAAGGAAACCATTTTGGAGATCCCGCCGGGCACCCTCAGCGACGGCATGAACGACAGCCTCGGCAATCGCATACCAGGCACCATGAGAGCCTGCCAACAGGCACGCGCCTCTGGAGATTGAATCGAGCTCTAGGCGCTTCCCGAAAAACTTCGCCGCGCGGCTGCCCAACGAGGCGAGAGATGCTTTCTTGGTCCGCTTCGAAGTTTTGAGGAACAGGGCCGCGAACCAAGGCGGCCTCGGCGTCAAGTGCACGGGCGCGGCATGGCTTCTCATCAGGGCATGCCGCTGTAAGCCCGAGCAGCAAGATCGACTACTTTTACAGGAACAGGCAACCTGCGTCAAAAGGTACCAGGTTAGTTTTGTCACGTCAACGCTTTGGCCTCTAGGAGGACAAACATTGTGACTGAGCAGATCGAGGTGGATTCAACTCAGCTATGTTGGCCATGGTCATGGGTCAAAACACAGACAGAAAAACCTTCTGGAGCTTCAGATTGCGGATTGTGACTTCAGACAAGGGCCCAATGTTGGATCCCCAACTTTTCAAGCGACACCCACGGAGCCCCGACTTGTGAACAACTACACAGAAGCTTGCAAGGCTAGTCATCTAAGCGTCAATCAGTTTGCCAAAAGGAAAGCAATCAATTCGGACGCGACCCTTGCCGCCAGCAAATGCAACAGCGGCTGTACGAGCAGAAGCTACGGCAGCATCAAATGCGCTCAGAGCTCGGCCTGGAGACAGAAAGTTGGGAGAATCAATTGACCTTTTGCTTCAGTCGCACCAGTATGGGAGAGTCGAATCCATCCTCGTGCGCCCAGCCAAGAAAGTTTAGGAAGTTTCGGTCGAAGCTGAGGGCCTTTGTGACGTTGCGACTGTGACGCTCAGGCCCTTGCGACCTTTTTGGCACTTGTACTTACTTGTTTGGGAGCCAAGCAAGCAATCTGGTTAGCGATTCCTTTGTTTGGTTTGCTTACTTCGTTTCAATGACCGGAGATCAGCTGAGGTGAACAAATGCAACAGAAAATGAAAGACATGTCGGCTGCCGGCCGAGTTGTACAGCCTTGTTCTAGCTAATGACAATTGACCGAAGATGTCTGACCAAAAGAGTGCGCTGTCAGTAGCGCAGTCAAGTTTGCGAATGATGGCTAGCGCGCGTCGCACGCACTTCACTTGTCTTTCAACTGGTTGCTGACGATGCCATGCGCTGCTTTGCTCACCAGCAAGGGATTCTGGACAGCAGTGGATTTGCATCTGGGAAAGTGCAGGGCAAGGCTTTGCAAGTGTTTTTGGCCGTGGATTCACTCATTGACATGTGGCCTTCCCAAAAAGGTTGAATCGACTGAACCAAATCTGCAGCGGTGGCTTTGGTCCCCGGGAAGATGGCTCTTAGCCAATGAGATGCGCTGGCTGGCGGCCGATGCCCTGGCATGCTGCCCACAGACGCACAAATTTCGGTGTTGGACTCTCGTTGCTGTGGTTGAAACCATCCGAATCCCGCATGCCTCTTTGGTGAGGATTGATTTCTGCTGCGGCTTGATGGGGAGTTTTGCGAGGGCCTACGTGACCCTTACCCATCTCGAGGCCGACCCCGAGAGACCTCCCGATATTGGCACAAGTAAGGTTGCTGGTGAACTGTGTCTCAACATCGTGCGTTGCTCAGTTGGGTGCTTGAACGAGTTTGGTTTGGGAGCCCAGGTGCTTTGGCGTGGCAGCGCGTTGGGTTCTGTCTTGCCGGCGGAGCGCTAAGTTGCAGCCCAAAGTCAAGAGTTTGGGCCCTTTGCGGCCTTTTGCTTTCCCAAGGAGAAATCCTGATTTCAGGCTTGTCTCATTTTGCTTGCTGCCTTTTGGTGGACTTGTGGTTGTCTAAACAAACACCAGACAGACGCTGCCTATTCTTGAGCCCTCGTGGTCCTCGTGCAGTTTTCCCTTCCGGCTCAACGATTGTCCATTGGCACTTGTTCAAGGCACCAGTCATGAACATCCTCATTTGACACGATAGTCAAAGGTTGCGGTGGTCAGGTTGTCTACGGTGTATTTTGTTAGATTTTATGTTGGAATCCGCGTTTGCGATGCTTCTACACCACGCCCCCACCCAGTGTCGCAGTAGCTCGCCATTGGATCCCGCCAAGTATCCCGCCAGAGCGGCTCGCCAGTGGATCCTGCCAAGTATCCCGCCAGAGGAGCTAGTGGATCCCGCCCAGAAGTATCCCGCCGGAGCGGCTCTCCAGTGGATCCCGCCGAGTATCCCACCAGAGCAGCCTGCCAGTCAATCCCAATGGCTCCCGCCAAGTGTCCCGCCAGCCAGTGGATTCCGCCAGGCTGCCCGCCAGTGGATCCCGCCGAGCATTTGCCTGAGTATCACAGAGAAGCTCGCCAGTGGATCTCGCCAAGTATCCCGCCAGAGTAGCTCGCCAGTGGATCCCGCCGAGTATCCCACCAGAGCAGCCTGTGAGTGGATCCCGCCGAGTATCCCGCTGAGTATCCCAGAGTAGCTTAATGTCCAAAAGGGCCGATGGGAAATTGGAGTCGAAGTTTCTAGGATGCGGAGGAATTTGTTGTAACGGTCGTAAGATTGCTCGAAGCAAAGTAGTACCCTCACAAAAACCAGGGTACTCGCTAATGTTCGCATGTCCCGTTGGGGGAAGGAGTAATTTTCACCATTCAGCAATTCTGTCGCTTCTGCATCCTGGCAAACAGCTCTCCCCCTATAGCTGTGACAGCTGTTGCCTCTTCACCCCTTTTGCGACACTGAGGCAGAGCTGCACTGCACGTCCGGAACCTATGGACGGGTTCAAAGTGTCACGTGTTTGGGGGAGTTACTGTTCTGGTGAGCTTCATGCGTCAAAGTTAGGGGGAGCCCAAGTAGGTTCCCTTCTCGGGTTCCCATGGTTCCCATGAATCCCTTCAAACCCGGGTGAAAGGCTAGCCTCACAAACAGAATGCCCCTGCACTTCATGCCTTGTTAAACCGTCAAAGGGCCTTTGGGTTTGACAAATGCCCAAAGGGATGGATGCTCCTGTTTGCTTCGCTTAAGGGGCTCGGCGCTGTTGGTGCAGACTAGCTTCGCGGGGACGCAGGTGTGCGTGCTTTTTTGGGGGGAATGGGGGGAAAGGGCGGGGAGGGGGCTTGAAGCTCGCAGCATTTGGTTCCCGGGGTCATCAACTCAATGGCCTGAGCAGAAGCAGGGGTTTGTGAGTGCTCGTTTGTGATTGAGAGAGGGAGCGCCGCCCACCCCTGTAGAACCTCACATGCCATCATCCAATATTCAGGGAATCAAGGGGAACATGAGGAACTACTTGTAGCCTTGAAACAAGTGTTCAATTCGATCGAATCTTATAACACGCGTCAGTTGGCCTTGCGAATTTGATGGGCCCAGTGGAGTTGGTGGCGTGCTCGAAGATGTTGATGTGCAGCAACCCCGCGTCACAGTTTTTCTTAATTTAAAGTTGTTTCTCTGAAGAGGCAGATGTGTTTTTTCTGACTGGAGGCAGGTAGGATGGGAGGGCGTCAAGGCAAATAAACCAGGAAGCAGTTGCTATTTCGGGCTAAAGCTAAACACGGAGACATGTTCAGTTCGGGGTTGGCCAGGTCGTTCGTGTGTCAGCCCTCCCCTAGCGCCAGGCCTTCACCTGCCCGCCTTACTATGAGGCCCAGACCTGCCTGGGGTCCCGATGCAGCTCATGCCAGCTGCGCCAGCTCCCTCCGATGCGCAGCTTGCCTTTGGTTTCCCACTGGTTTCCCACTTTGCGACAATAATTCCTTTAGCCAAACCACAGGCTGCATTCAATGGCACCGAGCCCCTCGCGCCTGTTTTCTGAGGCTGCCTCCAGCACGAGATGGAGCAGATCTGGGAAAAGGCGAGCTGTTCGCAGAGACCAGTGGCCTTGCCTGTGGCCTCTTTCTTTGACCGGCCTCCCTTGTGGCTGGTTTTTTTCAAGTGATCCAATGACGCGCCAACCACCTTTTGGGGGGATCTGCTGCCAGACTGTGCAGGTGGAAGACATGCTGCAGTTTGTGCTCCGCGTCATGGCGCTGGGCTCAATCTGTTCAGCGCACGTCCAAAGATGCGGCACCTGAAATCCCAACGTCGTACGCCGCAGGAAGACCAGGGAGAGGACCTGAAGAGAGCGGAGGACCAGGAGGCGGGATGGCGATGCTTTTTCTCACGTGGGGAACGCCATTAAACGTTCGTTTTCCAATTTGATTTGCAATTGGTGTCCATTTGACACACCAAAAAGGTACCTCAAAAGCACACCCATGTCAAGCGTTCAACGAAGACGCGCGCAACAACCCCCCCATGCTCGTTGCCACAATCATGGAAGTGGACCAGGTCATGACAAAGGCGTATGCAACCACAAGGAAATGTGAAGAGATTGAACTCTGACTGCATGTTGAAGGAGTTTGGCTTGGGGAGTGCCTAAAATTGAGGGCCTCCGTTCAAATGAAGCAAAAGGAAACCGACAAAGCGTCTTCTAGGGGGGCACCCCTAATTCGAACTGTTCCTGTGCTATGATAGTGTTAGGAGATATTTGGGGCCACAGGCTTGGGGTGGGGAGAGCGATGAATGGTTCATTTTGATCTCATGTGTGTTTTCATGGTATTTTCATTTGGGGTTTCATTCTATTTTCGTTTGTCCATTTGATGTTCATGTTGCTGGTTTTCCTCCTTTTTGCGACCCAGGAAAGCGTAACATGAAAAGCGTAACCTGTCCTCGACACATGAACATACAATGAAAGCTCGAATGAAAATAACATGAGTAATACTTATTTTGCCGTTTAAAGGCTCTCCCCCGCTGGGAGTCTCGTAATGGTAGTGTTGTGCACTCCGACCAGCGACGGGATTCGCAGGCGGCAGGCTTCCTGGAGGACGATGGCTCCATATGTCCGGGGCTCCGGCTTTTGGCCTGGCCCAATGGAAGGGTCCCACGGATGGAGGGCTGGGCGTTTGATGAGTGTCGGGTCGAGTTAGATCTCTCGAGCTTGTTTGAAGTTTTTCACCGACATGAAAGCATTGCCTGTGCTAAGTTCACAGAACATGAGTCAAACTTATGTCATGTATGACCGGCAGAACGACAAAGATGGCGATCATGTTGTCAGCCGCATGCCATTCGGAGGGGTTTCATGATGACCTCAAGCTTCCGTTCCGTGGGCGAGAAGGTGACACGCCTTCCCATGCAAAGCTGAAGCATGCTGAGGCTTCTTGTGAGATTTCCATCCAAGCCTTTGCCACTGTCCAAATATAGAGTGTGTGCTTGTGGGGTGCCTTGTCAAACCCAGTGTTGCTCAAGTGCAACGCTGAATATATGACTGATTTCCCGTATTCTCACCAGTTGACGTGGCGACACATCATTTGGCAACACATCGTTCCATTCTGGCTACAAATCATGCGAAAACAAGGCCATGGGCATGTGGACAAAGAAATGAACCTGAAGTTTCCGGGGTTGAATGTCGGACCTGGAAATAGACCATCCAGTGATCCCCTGCAACAGCCACGGGCATGGCCCCTCAGAGGCTCGGAGTACCATGCGCAGCTCTTCAGCTCGCGCCTTCGTGGTGCGGGCGCCTAGGCGCCTGGGGCTTTTGCTTCTGCTGAAAAAGCAAAGGCTCCAAAACATCCAACGACTCCAAAGCATCAAACAAACAGGTGGATTTCCCTGACGCAACACAGTTGTCCCGTGGAAATGACCGCACGTCGACGCGTTCGGGTCCCAGACGACGGGTTTGCCGCTCGAGGCTTCCGGGAGGCGCGGCAGGCTACGGCCAAAGGCACGGCGCTTGGAGCCGGAACAGGACTGGACTGGTTAGGGAGCCGTTCGGGAGCTGGGGGTACCCTCCCGGCTGACATGGAAGTGCACAGACCCCTGCACTTCCATGTTAGTTGGTGAGAGGGTATCCAAATTTGCCCTTTGCTGCGGGAGCACAGGAGCTACCGGAAGATCTGTCCAGACATGATGGGAAAATGGGGTTTGCCGAGTTTGGATGGCAGAGGTTTGGCATTTGTCGACTTTGTTAAGTGGGTGAATTGTTTCCCAATCCACTCTCTGAGTTTGCGTGATCAAGCGAAGTGTCACTTGAGGTGTGGATATTCTGCAGGGTGCGACTATGCACATGCTGTGCGAGGCACTCAGTTTCCAAGACTTCGGTGAGGGCATGCGAACTTGGCGCGATGTAGGTCGCCATGCGCTAGGCAAATAGGCCCCCCCCCTCGATGCAAACCCAAAGCACGGGATCCAAGGGTATTTTATGTTTGCCAAGAAACAATTGGGCCATGTGAAGGATGGCGTCAATGATACTGGTCAGGTTTGGGCCAACTGCCCTGTCGCAACTTAATCCCCGCAAATTCGGGGAGCCACTATCAGCCACGGAACAACCGGAGACCAGGTGCGGCTTGCTTTCAAAGCTCTTCGCAACTGAAGCTGGAGCAGGCGGTGGCCCGTTCGATTGCTTCCAGAGAGGTCGATATGTGTTTGCGGTGCGTGGCAGACTTCCTAAGGTCAAGTTGAGAAAGCTTTGGAGGCCAAGAGGGTAGGCAATGTTTCACGGAGGTTATGACGGACTTTGCCTGTCCCGAACCCTTTCAAACTCAAGTCATGGGGATTGACAACGAGGACCAATTGAAATGCTCATGTTGCTCCGCATTCAAAGGGACAGTTTGACCCAGGGTTACCAAGGTTCCAGTGCACTGGGGCTGATTGAGACGCTCGTGCCTGCTCACGTGGGCTGATTTCAAAGACCAACGCAATGCCGATGACATGCTGCATGACAAGGAACTGCAGCCCGCAAGGGGCGAACATAGGGGTGGAGTTTCCAGCACCCTGAATCACCTCTGAGAAAAGGAGCTACGAGAACCTAAAATTGTAGTTGACGCAGGCTAGATTGTGGTTATTGGCCCCTGTAGTGGGTTTTAGTGAACACTCCGACATCCTCTCGCGAGGTGGACAACTTTACCTCCTCGGCCTTGCTGTCCTTGCAGGATTTCGCTTGCCCACGCGTGGGTCCGTTTTTTTGGGATCCTGCTTTCACTGCTGTTGGATGGTTTTGAGTAGGACGCCAAAAGGGAAGCACTTCACACACCCTGCTTTTAGGGTGCCAAAATTGTGTGATAGATGACCCTTTTCGGGTGGCTCAAACATCAGTTGTTTTGTTTGGTGATCATCAAACAACTCTTTTCAAGGATTAGATAATTACACAGATTTCTGCAAGGAAATATACATCTTTTTGATTGCGCTGAAGTGTGTTCAGACACGAAAGCCCTGACCATGACCCACAAACACATTTTGACCATGGCACCATTGGGGCACTTCTTATTTGGGGGCTCTTCCTAAAAAACGTTTCTTTCGACATGTTGAGTAATGCGAGGTTGACATTAACCTGTACAATTCGAGAATCCAACTGGTTAGCTGCTTGGTTGCTTGGTTGGTTGTTTGGTTGGCATGGCAAGCCCCGCCCCCCCCCCCCCCGCCAACGTCGGCAAAAGGGACGGAACCCTCGCAGGACCGCATGGGCGCCATCTTCACGGAGCAGGTCCTCGCGGACCGGTTTTTCGGAACCCCTTTTCTATGGGCGCGCAAGACGGTCTCGGAAGGCATGGCTTTGGTGAAAGCTTTCAGTCGAAATGCGCCCAGCTGGTGTGAGAGTGGCAAGCTCTGCATGGAAAGGGCTAAGGGCCAATGAACATGAGTTGATAGGAAGCCGCGCAAGAAACGGTGCCCACGAAAGATGGGTGTCGCCCACGGGTTGTTTGCTGCCTGTTGTTTGTGCGGTTGTCTCCAGGATGCAGTTCTTTGATTTGTAATTGTCGAGCTTAGGGTTTAGGGTCCAGGAAGCAGGACTTAGGATGATTCAGGGTTTGTTTCGGGCTTTGCTTGCGCTCTTCGCCCCTCGCAGGGGGTCCCGGTGCGCTCAGTTGGTCTGAGAGCGCGGTTTCGATGCACCTCCCACAATTGTTCAAAGTGCTGGGGCACTCGCACGCATCACACGTGTGTTTCACATAGTCGTAGCTGTACTTGTGCTAGCAAGCACTTACAATAATGAATGTATTGCAAGCTAACAATCAGGCCATGGATTACTTTGGAGCTACATGTAAATGAGCTGGTTGGCCCAAACCGGAAACTGTAACAGGCACATGTCTCAAGGCAGCGGACCTTAAAATCATGAATCCGCAGGAGCTCTACCAGGATGCGAGGCCCGCTTTTCCTCCAAACATGAAGGGAGGGGCCCTTTTTTGGTGGAACTCGGAAAATGAATCGACAGGAAGCCCTCAAAGAAGCCGATGGGAAACCATCGCTTGACGGGTCCCCCAGGTGAACAGAGTCAATGTCGCCAAACCTCGAGGACCGTTCACCAGATACCCAGTGTTCTCTGGGCTATGTGGACGCCTTGACTGCAGGCAGGAGATTTCAAGTTGAACCGAGCCATCCGAGCCGTTTCTCTTCCTGCTTCCAATTTCTCTGTATACACTTTACGTGCTTTCTGGTGCGTAGATCGCGAGGGCATCACAGTGGACCCGTTTATGCTCCAAGCTGAGTGTGCTGAAGGCTTGCGACATAAACCAATCAGTTTGCCTCGTAGGTTTTGGAGTTGCCTGTTCTAGGCATCTCCTTCCCTTCCTGGGGGCGGTTCTCTCCAGCGGCGCCGCCATGCTTCGAGCCGGTGAGACCTCTCATAGCAGACTGCTTGGTACGCGTGCGAAATGCCCCAGAGAGCGCAGGATCTCGATACCCTGGTCTTCTAAATGCGTTTTGGTTTCCACTCATTCCAAGAAAAGGCCTGCAAATGCGCTCGGTGCAGCTTATGCCGGACTTGAAAGTTGGGAGCAATGACGGAGGCATGGCTCCATCATGCGCCAGGCCTTCGTGTGGCAGGGCTCGCTGCTGGCTTCCTTCGCTGGATGGATGGACCGTGCGCGGGCCCGAGTGCCCGAGTGCCCGAGCCTGGAGATGTCAAAGGGGTCTTTGGCTGAGTGCAGCGACCCTCCTTGCCCCGGGTTATGAAACCGACGACTTGGCGACTTGGCGGTCCCGGTTTTGACACGTGCTTTGTGTTTCCCATGGTGCTGCTGCATTATTGGTGATCACGAGTCCAACAAACATGTACTCCGAGCGTTGCCCAAAGCATTGCAACAAAAGGCCCGCCTCGACATGTGTCTATTTCTTTATGAGGGCCCTTGCACTTTCTTGCTCAGTTACGCACGCACGCATGCGCAACTCGCGGATGATTTGAAGCCAACGTCTAAGTCACGCCCACGCTTTCGAGGTCCTGTCGCTGCTGATGGAGGTACCTGGTTCCCTCCTGCCACATGGACGGACTTAGACTATTTGTGAGAGGGGCGGTGGGCATTCCGGATTTTTGGTATAGCCCTCACAGTGGATAGATTTTGAGGCCTCAAGGGCGGAGACCTTAATTCAACCCCTCGCGAGCGGATTTGGGGAGCAACTGCATGAGCCCACACGCGCTACAACAGGAAGCTTCCCCAAAAAACCCGCCTCACCCTCTATCATTGTACCCTATTCGCCCTCACCGCAGATCGAAGAGCCAGCAATGCTCGCATTTGACCAAACGCCTGCTGCTTCTGAACAGGTTGCCTTGCCCAGTCAAGCTCCCATGTCAAGCAAAGAAGCAATTGTTCCTGAAGTTGCCAATGACAGCACGTAAACTACGGCTCCTAAGAGCAGTTTGTGGGGCACCGTCAATGCAACGCTAGTAGCCTCCCCAGCATTGCTAGCGTTAAGGGTGTTGCTTTAAGCAACATCCAGCGACTGCACCAGCAGCATATTCTGGTTGCAACCAGCAAGCAATCACTTTCCCTGACCATGACTCAACAAGTCTGCGCACGCGCGCACATGCACACGCACGCGGACACGCACACGCACA